AAAAGCTAATTAGGCACACAATTCATTACAGTAGGTACAGAGGGTAAATAAAAGCAATGTTTCCTTTTCAGTTTCTTAATAGCGAATTGAATTTGTCGTGTTGAATTTATTTTGGTTTGCCTCATCTAATCGCAAAATTGTTGAGACAGTGAGAAAAACTGGCCTTTCCTGCATAAAATCACGGCTAATAATACATCTATGAGATACAAAATTCACTCTTCTCTCTTCCCTATTGAACGTTGCCCATCTAGGTTTTGAGCATGGTCTTGTGTGGCTACAAACTGAAGTGGAAGGGGAAATGGAAAACACAAGATCATGCCGAAATAAGATATTAAATGTGTCTTAAGCACTTTAATTCACAAATGGTGGTAGTTTTTCAAAATAAAACAGGCCCCCTGATATAAAGTTTCTTTTTCCTACTGAGGACCTCTTGCAGTGTCTGTTGTTGAACATCTAATGTGCCACATTGTCAGGTTCAATTCTTAAAGAAAAATAGAAATTGAGTTCCCAGGTATACTCCATCTAATATTATTTTCAAAACTGAATTCAGTCGTATCCATGACCTGTTTAAAGTTAATTTAGCAAAATGCAAATTAAACAATATTAGTTGGCTATAATCAATACTACACAAATTAGTAACGGAAAATTCAGCGACGGATAACCCCGGGGGGGGGTACTCCAATACATTACCTATACGGGTATGTGCCGCCCAAAGGGGTCGTGATTTTGAAGCTCCTGATTTAGAACGGGGTATCCATTTCAGAGGCGTTTTCTAGAACGGGGTATAAAATCTCGAACGCATGAAAGCTCCACTTTTGTAAGCAGCCATTTGAAAGTATTCAAGGACAGATTGCTTTTAAAAATACAGTTCAATGCNGGGCCCCCCCCCCCCCCCGGGCGGATAACTTAACTTCTTGTGTTGTCAAACCGTTTACGAGAGCACATCACTGCATGGCACGCAGTTTCTTACTTCACTATATATTTTTTACTGTAATACATTTTCAGTTGTGAAGGAATTTTTTAGTCTATACTTGAATTTTTTGAAACTCATCATACAGCTCTGCCTTGTTTACTTAGAGCAATTGAGTGCCAATTAGACAACTATTCACACCATTGTTCAAATCGCAGTTATTGCATCTAGGCCATGCATGCAGACTGCTTGCTGGACGAAATCTGAACACGTTTGCAGTACGAATGCCCCCTAATTTCGAAACAGTGTGAGATTTCGTCTCATAATCTTAAAATAATATGGTCTCCATGAATTGCAATATTATTTTTCACAGATTAAGACTCGAGTTCTTACGTAAAAGTATTGTTATTGTATTTACCGAGGTGCAATTATGTCAGCATTAAGGTCAGTCACTTGTTACAGTCAGCTAATACTTAAAATTACGAAAGAGCAATTGCTAAAAAGGAATTCGTATGCGAGGAAGTTAACAAATCATTTAACTAATTGTCGATCGCGTCGTTATGAAAACTATAACAGAATACTAACTAACTTCAAGCTCACCTCAACATAGGCTTCAGGGAACAATCCCCGTGTTCCATCAGGGCTGATACCTTCCCACCAACCTTCTCCAACATCCTGCAACGAAATGAACGCGAAATAACTTTGAGGAAAGGAAAAGGAAAAAGAAAGAAATAAAAACAAAACTACAAGAAACTAAAGAACTACAAGACTATAAGACTCGCGTACCGTCCGCGTCAGGATCAGGATTTCGTCAGTGTAGACAACAAGTTCTCCAGAGGGTGCATCACCTTCAAAATCATACAACACCCGAACCTAAACAAAAAAGAAAACAAAGTGAAACTTCAAAAGTACAAGTAAATCTTAGCTTGTAAGAATCGACTAACCTTTGTGCCAGGGGCTACAGACATTTCTTCGCTAAAGCTTTAAAATGAATCTAGTCCATTTCCACATCGATGCTATTTTCAGTTGTGATGTCACGTGAACAACCTACGGTTCACCACGGACAACCAGTGCCCAGTAGGATTTGTCAACTTTTGAATGTTTGTACACTTTAAACTAATCGATGTCTTTAGCGATTACATGTATTTACGACGGCTGTTCATTTGTTATTGACTTTTCTTCGACTTTTTCCGGTTACGTTAGCTTCGAGAAAAGACTATAAATTATGCGGTATATCGGGTGTTCTTATAAAACCGCGAAACCAACAACTTTGTTTACCGCTGTCCATTAAAGTTGCGTATACACATTGATTTCTAAAATGGCGGACGAAAGCAAAAGGAATGATCCGAAACTAAAACGAAGGCGCAGCGAAGAAAGAGAGAAGAAGAAAGACCACAAAAGAATCCATCCGAATAAAAGAAAAAAGGAAGAGAAAAATGACAAAATTATTCAGCCGCGAATCCCGAAAACTGCTGCCGACATTTCATCTAACTGGAAACTTCTACAAGTGGTAAGCAATCACTAAGGATGAGGTTACTTTAATCAGTGCCTTAATATTTCGGCTCCATAAAGGGCCAAACCTAAGAATACCCGGCCACTTCATATGCATCTTTGAAAGTTGTTCCTGCATTCCTGAAGTCGTAAAAATTTATATTTATTGACTAAAGGACCGTAAAGGACAACGGAACCAAAATGCACGTTTTACTACGTTTTGAACATTGCATGCGGGACCACGGGAGCAGTTAACAGTTGACAAAATATCGCTTCAAGTTGGGCGGGTATTCAGATGTTTTTCTTCCTATCATTTGAAACTCAAATTAGTTTAGAAACACTTTTTGATCGGACCCCATACATTTACTATGCATGCAGCAATTTCATACTTTTTCTCAAAAATTAGTTTAATATGAATAGAGTCGAAACGTGTATGCATAATAAATGTATAGGGTGATACAGAAATCTTACAAAGAAAAGAGCCAAAAAAAGAGAAAAAAATTCGTCAGCTGGGAGTCGCACCTCGGACAACACACTTGCAAAATCATTTTTTTTTCTTCTTTGCCATGCAGGGTTTTGCTCTAGCAGAGCCTGGTGGCCCCTGGTGCCTAACTTTTGCCCTTGGGCAACTAGAAAATCTCAGATTTTTCATACAAATCATATGCTGTGCACCCTAGATTTTACAGTTTCATAGCACTGGGCTTCCTTCAATTTTCCTTAGAGCACAGCCTTGCCATGTCACCAAATGTTAAATGGACAAAACTAACCAGTTCATAACCATTTTTTAGTATGCGTGTCTGTTAAAGTTTCAGTTTTAGAGCAGAGAATTTTTAAATTTAAAAATTCTATGGGTGGAATCCCTTACCTATCAAACTTCCACCCCCAACCTGCTTCTTGTTGGAGTGGTGTTCATTTACACTAAGACTACAAGCCGAATTACTCGCTTGTACCCTTTTTTACTACACATTTACTTACAAGATGCCTTTGTCCTTTGTGGGAGGCTACAAACATAGCATAAGCCTCATAGGGAAGGCTTATTAATTTTGTACAGTAGTTTTGTTGATGTGGGAGAAGATGGAATTAAGATGTACCTTTATTTAGATGACTGGTGTGAAACTATTTTTTCAGATGCTTAAAGAAGAAAGAAATGTTAAAAAAGAGAAGAGTGATGCAAAAAGCAGATGCAGGGTAAAACAGACTTTCAAGAAAAAGATAAAATTAAATCATCAAGAGGCTTCAGAGAAAACAAGGTTAATAAAAACTATGTTGACCAAAGCCTGGGATTCTTGTTCAGTCAACTTTTCTTAAGTTCACATTCCTGCAAAGTGAAAACAGTTATTCACTGCGCTTTTCAAAAACATGTGAATTCTGAAGTTTAAAAGCCAACTGCCGCTTGCGTTATTCACTGCCTTCAATCATCTTAGGGGATCGTTTAGGGAACACTAATTTACTTCAATGGGCTCAAAAGGTCATGGTTTGTGATTGGTGATTGGTTGATTTCGATCCGTTTTTTGTGTTTCAAGGTTTGTTGCTTGTGATAGTAATTATGATTGATGGCATTTAAAACACAATTGTGAAGGTGGCTTTTGAACCTCAGAGTTTGCATGTTTTTGAAAAGTGCAGTAAAAGTGTATTATTCTTTATTACCTAGTCATATATATGAATGTAGCTAAAGCTAGAGTGCTAGATTTTTTTGCATTGAGGTATTGGTTGTTTACAGTCTCTGAGACATCCAAAATGAGGTGCTTATTACGTCTCGGTTGAAAAAAATGAGAACTTGTTCTGTCACACTATGTTGAGAATTTATTTCTGATAACAAAAGCTATTCCTTTCTGTTATAATGCCAAAATGATAACGCATTAAAAAAATGTAGATTCACAAGTAGGTAATCCCCTAGTATAAAAAATGGGAGTTCTCCTGAGAAAGTTTCAAAAATACCTGTGAAAGGTACCAGAATCCTGCATTGCATGAATAGCTAGACTATTACAAATAGCAAATAAAAAGTGGTGGGAAGAACTTTTTAGTGTGATGCCTAAGAGGTCCTTTAAAGGTACCTGCTCCAGTTGTGATGTTGATTATTTTAAATTTTAGCACCCTTGTTGATACAAGTACATGTATTTAATTTTTACCAACAGCTTTTATTGGGGTTACCCCTAGTGGGACAATATGGAGCTTTAGCAATGACAACAGTGATGGCAGCAAAAGCATCACTATTTAAATGAAATTTCACTTTTTTTCAAGCTTTGTTGCATTTATTCCAGCTCACCTAAAATGCCAAAATTAAATTAATTTCCCTGGAGTTGAATTTGTGGGGAGCACACCGAAGTTTAGAAAGAGAATTGTTTTCCTTGCCACCACTGCCGTCAATGCTAAGCTCTCAAATGTCCATAACCTGTATGTGGAATGATTTCCAAATGAAAAAAAAAACACACACACACAACAAAATGTTGGTTATGATTTCCCAGTTAATGAAATCTTTATGCATGTTTTGAACTGATGAGTGCTGTAAAGTGTAAAATGTTTTATCATTGTCAGTTCTAGCGAAGTTTGGTTTGATGATGTGGATCCTGAGGATCTTGAACAAGTGACAGGGAAAAGAATGCGACTGACCAGCAAAGATGTAGATCCCACTTGTAATGAAACACTTGTTACTGGTAATTTTGAAGGGTTGGTATTTTGATACTTATCCTCACTACTGTTTGACTTGACCCAGAAGTCATAAAGAGTGGTCTTTTTTCCTAAGACATCACACATTTAAACATCAGCTGCCTTTAATCACCCGTGTCAGACCCATATCGCTTGTACCAATCTATGGGATGCCATCAGTTTCAATCCCAAAGGGGGGGGCGGGTACTCTAGATTTCAAGTGACAGGGATGATTGAAAGATTTTTTTGGGGCTAAAATTTTCGATTTCGCGATTATTTTGGGTAGGAAAATTTTGGCAAGTATTTTTTTGGGGTAGCTTGATTTAAGTAGGGATTTTTTGGGGTATTGAAACCTAATGTTTATATTGTTCATGTTACATCAGTGAATGCTTTCTGGAAATTTTTATTGCTCAGAAATTCAGCATGGGATTTCGGGGGTTAAATTTTGTTCCAGGGACTTTTTAGGGTTTTGATTTGTCCCCCCATTCGACCATCCCTGTCACTTGAAATCCAAATTCCCCCCCCCCCCCCCCCCCCCCTGGGGGTTCACTGCCCCTTGGAGGCCCCAATGAAACACACTGTTTTCCCCCTTTTTTTTTTCCCCCCAAAAATTTCTTTTTTTACCCGTACTTTTGTTTTCCTATTTACAATAAAATTTTTTTTTTTTTGTTTTTGTATATAATAAAGTTTTTGTGTTGTTTGTTTTGTTGTGCGTATGTTCATCAGATGATGTTTTGTGGAAATTTTTTTTTCCCAAAAAATTAGCAGGGGGTTTCGGGGGTTTAATTTTTTTCCCGGGGCTTTTTAAGGTTTTTGTTTTGCCCCCCATTTCACCCCCCCTTTCCCTTGAAAACCAAATTCCCCCCCCCCCCCCCACCTGCCTGGGGTTTCAATGGCCATTGTAGGCCACAATGAAAACTACTGATTTACCACTTATTGTGTTACCCCTAAAAAGTTCTTTTTTTAGACGTCATTGAGTTGTCATATTTACAATCAAATATTTCTTTGCTTGTGTTAGGATAACAAAAAAGATTGCCTTGGATTGTGAGATGGTAGGAGTTGGGCTTGATGGAAAGCAGCACATGCTGGCAAGAGTATCTATTGTCAACTCACATGGTCATGTTGTTTATGACTCATTTGTGGCACCACAGGAAAAAGTCATGGATTACAGAACTCCCATTAGTGGTGTTAAACCATCGGATTTAAAAAATGGCAAGTTGCAGGACTTCATTGCTTTTTAATTTCCTTAGCCAGTTGCCATTAAAAAAGAGTAATTCAGTTATTATCAGCAATTTTATCGATCAGTTGATCAGTTATGTGCCAGACAGTAACTAGAGTTGTCAGTCCATCTGTCAGTTAACTAGTCAGTTTACATGTAGTTAATCAGTCAACAACATTAGTCTGTTTGTCAGTCAGTCAGTCAGTCAGTCAGTCAGTAATTCTTTCAGTTATTTCTGAATTGTCATTTAGTCAGCCAGTTAAGAATCCATCAATATTGTGATCAGTGATTGTTGTGAGTCCCTCATTCAGTTGCCTTTTATTTCTGCTCCAATCTGTCAGTTACAAGAGTCACTTGTTTTAACTTTCTCAAAAAGTAAATCGCATAGTCAGACTTGATTTAATAATAATAGTTGAGCCTCCCTTAAGAACCATCCAAAATGTGATGATTTAGTGGCTCGCATACAAGAATCAAACTTCAGAGTGTTTTTTCCAAGAGCAGGTCTAGATATATTGACTATTTTTTTGCAGAGACTTTATTGCACTTTCAAAGTTGAGTATACATGTAGTTCCATGTTGTCATGGAAAGTTATTTGTATACTGTGAGTGGCGTAGTATACACAGCAGAACTAAGAGACCGCATCACACCTGAGTCATTGAATTTAGCAGGCCTAAACACATTTTTGATTCAGCTCATGTGAAGTACAGCATCTGAGCCTTATTCATTCATTATCATTAAGTCTAAATTCTGTCACTGTTTAGTTGGTAAGTTACCAGCCATTCAAACATTCACCTGTGAGTTTAGATACCTTTTTCGGCTTTCTTGTTTTGTGTGTCAAGTAAAGTGCTCAAAAGGCTCAAAGGCGTGTGCTCTAGTAGCTTATCTGGACATGGTTTTCTCAAAAATACTTCTTCATAATTTTCTTTCCAGCCCCAGATTTCAAGACAATTCAACTGGAAGTTTCAAAACTTCTCAGAGGAAGAATCCTTGTTGGGCACGCTCTGAAAAATGATTTAGCGGTGTGTTTATATGATTCCATTGTGTTGTAAAGACTCTGTAAATTTGTAACATAGCTTCCCTCCAACGTATTTAGTTATTATGTTTTTATATTTTTGCTGTTTTACGTCAATTCTGTGCTGAAGTCATTACTTTTAGTGCCTTTGACCAAACACAAAATGCTCCTGTAGATTTATGAAGAAGATATTGAACAAATTTTATCAGGGAGCATCGACCATCATAATTTTTGATGATTTTTACAGGCACGGCGTTTTATATTTAAAAAATAAGGCCCGATTTTGTCAACTTTCAATCCTTTTCCATCCTTGCCATCCACTGCAACAAACAACAGGAAACAGTTTCATGCCTAAATACAGTCTTTAGTAAATAACAAATGTGAAGATACGTCATTGTAGCTTTTTATAGCTTTTAAAGGGTATCAAATAACGTGATGCAGCCCTTATAAGGCAAAGGTGTAGTGGAGTAATGATAATGTTTTATTCTGCAGGTATTGTTCCTTGATCATCCACGAAAAAATATCCGAGATACTGCTAAGTACAAGCCTTTTCAAGAAAGAGTCAAGGTGGGTATTAATTCAGTTTGTTTGTAAAGGTGAAGTTGTACATATGAGTCCTTGATTTCATGGTAATCGGCCAGTATTAGAACCATAAGTAACACGTAAGAGCAGTAGCCGGAGATGGGAGTGGATGCGGCTTGTCTTATCTAGAGATCACAACCTTTGCGTGACAAGAAAATCGAGCTAAGTTGGCCTCCACCAAGGGAAAGCAGCTGAGACAGGCCGAAGGATATGTGTCGTAGGATGGCAGAAAAAAAGAGGATTAAATTTGGGTGGAGGAGTCGGGCTGATATTCAGTGAGCCATGCAAGAGAAGGCATGAATGGAGAGCCTTTATTCGTGCCCTATCAGGGGCACCCAACGTCAGTTTTCGGAAAATATCTGTTCGGAAGACGATTTCAGATCTACAATTTTCGGAACACTTGTTGTAAAAATTTCTTGCTTGCCTGTCTCTCCTATGATTTTCGAACACCAAAAATTGGTATAATTGCCCATTTTTAACGTATTTTTACCCTAAAAAGTTTTTTCTGACTGAAATTTTCGAATGAAAAGGTCAGTTTTGATCGCTAAAATTTTACGGATCACTGGTCTTTCAGCTAGTAAATCTAAACAGATGAAAAATTTTTAGGGGATGTGCCTATATCTACCGTCTAAATACCAAAATACGTTTAACAATGCTATTCTTAAGTGGTTTTGAGCTATATTCTCGTGGGGTCCCCTGCCCTATGCACCGGTGGGTGACTAAGAAATGCCAATAACTAGTCACTTTAGAGTGGTTTTCGTTTGAGTGTCGTAAAACCAAAACCAAAGTAATTACTCTGGCCAATCACATAGGACACAGACAATACATTGAACCAATCAAAACTCGAAGTAATTACATGTGGCTGACGCAAAGCGCGGGAAAATGCATGCGAGCGCGTCACAATTGGCTTTGGTTTTACTTCTGATTGGATGAAAAGGTGGCGCGAATCTTTTAAGCCAATCGCATCGTGTAGAAAGTGCAAAACCAATTACTTTTCGACACTCAAATGAAAACCGCTCTAAGAAGTTAGAGCGGTTTTCACTTGACTGTCGTAAAACCAAAACCAAAGTAAATACACTAGCTAACCAAAGGGCGTAGTAAAACCAAAACCAAAACCAAAACCAATCCCTTTTCGACAGTCAAGTGAAAACCGCTCTATGTTTGTTAGCAAAGCAAAAGGTCCAAAAGTCTTTTAAATATTTACCAAATCACGGCCACATACATGTGTAATACACAGAGAGCTATCATTCATGAGCTTTGTAAATCATACAGTCAAACAAAACTGAGATGGCAAAGTTTTTGAAATTTATGGGAATGAAATCCGGTTTAATCTCATTCAATTCTGCCCGCAATGCATTTCCCCTTCTCCCTTACCCCCCCTGGCCACTACGTGTAAAGAGTAACCCGACTGAGCGAATTCTAGATGCTCCCGTCCACCACACTGCAATCTAGAGTTAAATCTTTACATAAAAATGTCAGAAGTGAGGTAACCTCCAATTTCACTGTAAAATCAAGAGAGAATTATCTCCCTGTACTTTCGCCTGGTCGGTGATCGCCGGCGAGCGGGATAGGCCGCCTGTTCAAACCACGGCCGGACAATTAACCGGGAAGTACTGAGGAAATAGTGCTACCTTTGTAATAACACCTGCAAAATGGTTAGACTTTCTTGTCTTCTTGGACAAGGACCCAAAAAACTATAGGCCCCTTGTCACAACCCTTGCCTATCTAAAAAGTATGTGGGGCGTTAAAGAACCTAAACACTATTTGTAGATTAGGCTCTATTACTGATTTCCGGCCGCTTTAAGGGAAATGAGCTTGCGTTCCTCTTGCCAAAAAGACGGCTGGACGCGTGGGTTTACTATTGTAGATTTCCACCAATGAGATTGTTGCCTGCCCAAATCGAGCAGGGGAGGAACCAGACCGGACGAGAGAGCGGCGAAAATTGAGCCTCTTCGTAGAGAGAAGTGGGATCTATTCCATTGTGTGGTGGCAACATTCATAACTAAATACTTCATAAAGGCAAAATTACCCAAACCATTGTTGTAAATCATGTTATCCCTGAAAGCCCTGGGGGAGTGAATAATAACTAAAGATATTTAAATTTTACGATTGTAAGTCATCGATTGGTTGTCATTTGTATTCACGGTGATCTCGTGAGCATCAGATTAGCCTGTCAACAGGCTCTCTATTGGGGGAGAGGGCTACAAGAAGGTGCGTAAGCGGTGCAGACGTTCCCTTCTTTCCGCACCTCGCTCCCTGGGTTGCCTGTTCAGAAGCTGGCATCAAACGCATACTGATAAATCACCCATTCATTTTTTTTATAACATATAGAGTAAGAAGCCTGCGTTACGAACTTTGGCAAAGCAACTACTGAACGTAACCATTCAAGAGGGAGAGCATTCTTCAGTAAGTGCGCCTCTTAGCTTAAATCAACAATGGAAGTCAGAAGTATTGAGAAACCGGGCTAAACGTGATATTAGTAAAATGGGCTACTTTCCCCACCCTCTTCCCCCACCCCCCTTCACAAAAACAAAGAAAAGCAATGTTACATTGCGTGCAAGACGGTGCAGACAGATAAGTTATTCTGGAGACATTTCCGTGGGAGGTGGGGGATCAAAATTAGGAGTAGAGCCGTGAGTAATAATAACTTGGGAGGGTTTTCTTAACTGTTGCATGTTCCCCCCCCCCCCCCCCCATTTTAACTTTGTGGAAAGACGGTGCCAAAAAAAAAGTTTTTCTGGGGACATTTCCGGGGGGGGGGGGGGAACAAAATTAGGGGAAAGGGCGGAGGTAAAAAAAACTTGGGGGGGTTTTTTTATCTTTTGCATTTCCCCCCCCCCCCCCCTTTGACGGGTTATTCTTTGAAGACGATTCTTATAAATCCGACAGAGCACATATTCGTCCATCCATCATATATAACCTGTCCGAGACAAAAAATCCTTCGTTCAGCTAGACTGCGAGCAATCTCGTATTTTTCTTTGCAAAGTTACTCCACGAGTAACCAATGCACGTGAGCCACAATAAACGAGGACGTAAGTCCTAACCCCTTATTGTGACGTCGTTATTTGCAGTCGCGCTGCTGGCCGCTGGCTGGGATAAGAACCGGACGGATTTTAAGAGAAAAGGCGGACTGCAAGTAGTCTATCGTGCGTTCTGCACGTCTTCAAGACTTCTGACAGCAACTCAAATATGAATACGAAAATTTGACCCGTAATTCATCAAAAAACCCATTCACCTACATATCTAGACTGAGGATGGATAAAATCGTCATAACCTAATAATCTGTTCGCAGTAATAATTTGGTAAATAGGGAGCCTAAACAACCACGTTTTTGATCAACGAACGTCAACCGGAAGTGGACATTTCGCATTCTTGGGCAATAGTTTTGTCTAAATTTTCAAGCAAATAGTTTCTATAAGAGAAAAGACACTTCGCAATTTTGGTAGCGTTAAGGCATATCAAAATAATAGAGGTCTTACTTCTAGTCAGTGATGTTCGACGCTCAAAACTCCCTTAACAATTGTGCTAGTGTCTGCACAGGCGACCCAAATGTGGTGTCTGTTGCCAGTCGCAACACCCCGAAAAGGGCCGTATTTTCTTTGTGTTTGACTACAAAGTGTTTTTATTGACAGGTACAAGATGCACAAGTGGCAATGAAGCTTTACACGCTGCACAGAAATCAGTGGGAAAGGCAGCTAAAAGAACTCAAATTCAAACACTTAAAGAACGAAAAATCACAGAAAAAACTGGTTTCAAGGCAGATTAGATAGCAGTGTCCACGAAAAAATGTTAACCTGGACTATAACAGATGACCTTGCATGGGTTATTATCTAAAGATACTGGTGGTTCACAAGTATTAGAATAACTATATTTATGAATTAGACCTCTGTCCTAGGTGTATCAATTAAGTACACTGTAAAAATAAGTTTGTTTTTCCTCCAAGTTATCATTGCGTGCTGTGGAGATACTCACGCTCATATTGATTTTTGATAAAAAAGATTCTTTTGTTTCACTCGTTACAAGTTTGAATTAAAAAACAATGTGTATAAACAGTGAGTGTTGATATACCAAACTAAACACTGTCCACTGTGAACCCCAACTTTACATCATCACCAAGGTTTGATACATGCGTTAGTGGTGCGGTGTTTGAATTGGCTTAGTGAGCGAAGACTGGGGAAAGTGTAAATTGCCAAAAAGCGGGGGTTTGAGAAGGGAAGGCGTCCCCACTCTTGTCCCCGTGGGATCCCCGTGGGACATAGAGATTAGACCATGCGTCAAGTGGTCGCTTACAAGAGGTTAAAAGCAATGGAAAATTATTAAACCGCCAGCCCCGAAACGTGGTCGCGGTAGCTTACAGGAGGTGGTCGTTTACGAGAGGCTCCTACCATAAGGCTTTGACCGGGAAAAATTTAGGTGTTTTGGATAGTTGGTCGCTTATAGGAGGTTGTCGCTTACGAGAGGTGGTCGTACATGGAGGTTAAACTTTGCTCTATTTTCCCTCAGGCTAAATAGTGTACCAGCCAACTGAAACTGAACTGTAGAAAATTTTGCAATCAACTGTCTTTCCTTTATTTCGAGTAACTTAAAACGCAGTTGAGATAACATGAAGAAGCGTCTTGGATACTAATGCGTACCCAGCTTTCATGAGCTCCATAGGTCGTTTTCAAGAAAATTTGTCTATTGGCCAGGTGGGAGGTGGGGAGGGGTTACAACACTGGATATGGAGGGACATTTAAGCCGGTAACGGTTTATTGGCTCGTGGATTTCCCTCGTTAGGATATGGCCCTGACTGATTGTAGTGACATCATGGGGTCTAAGTCTGACATAATGTGACAAAGCCATTGATTTTGTGGTGTCCTTCTTCAGTGATTATGGAAGTGTCGCATCCAGAAATCCACGTCGTCTGGGAAATATTCTGCTTTAGTCTGAATGCTATTGACTTGGATAAGATTTTTCATAATCATTAAAAAGATAACAGGTGCAATCTTTTGTGCTCGGCTTGGGTCATAGCACGAACTCTTTACCCACCTCTCCGCTTCCCAGTCCTTCCACAATTCCATAATTTCCCTCCTCGAGTTTCACTGTCTTCCTGCCAACACCACCAGGCCAAATAAAAATGTCTATTGTTTTTCCTCCACCGCCACCACATTTCTATTGTTTCCTTCCTCCACCATCATCACATTTCTACTTTTTCCCTCCGCCGCCACCAGATTTCTAATGTTTTCCTTCTAACGCCGCAACAGTTCTATTGTTTTTCTCCACCACCACTACCACCACTATTCTACTGTTTTCCTGCCTCCAGCACCACAATTCTACTGTTGTTTCCCCCGCCCACACCACCGCCACATCTATTGTTTCCCTGCTCCCTCCACCACCCCCTTTCCAGCACAATTCTATTATTTTTCCTCCTCCACTACCACCGCCACCACATCACCATTTTTTCCTCCTTTTTTACCACCACCACCATCTGGGTAGAATCAATTTTTGAAAGACCTAGGGCATGAGCAATTTAACCCAGAAAATCGCAGCGCTCCGCTTTCAAACTTCATTGCAGAAAGGGCGAAATATTCGCGCTTTTTTTCGTACATTCAGATCGAAAATCCATCGGGACTAGCCCTCAAAGATAATTGAAATCACACAGTTTTCGAGCTTTTAAAATGCGTAGCCAGCTTCACAAGTGCCGGCCAGAAAGCGTCCTGCTGATTACATAGCTGCTTTTGATTGCATGACGTTAAATAAACAAAAGGTTAAACAATTGACCCACAGGAAATAGAAAACGAAAACAAAAACTAGACAGGAGCCGGACTCCCCCAGGGCCCTCCACAAGAGAACCCTTCCTTCGCCTTGAAGGGGGCGGAACCGTCAAAGAAAAAAGGGGTCATAACAGGAGCCGCACTCTGGGGCGAGGTGGCAGACGGTCTATGGGAGGGTGCTACACCCTGACTGATACATTTCATGGAACGGATATCCTCCCATGAAAGCTTGTAACATGACTACTCTCCTCTTTAGAGGAGAGAGCCATGGGGACAGGCTCATACCCGACAGATGGGCGGAACTTAGACGGCGGCCCAGAAGAAGCACTTTTCTTTCCCTTTGCTCTCTTTCTGGATCTTGTCTCACACGGCGCGATCGGAGATCCAAAGGCCGTCGCAGCTGCTCCAGCAAGGACCTCCTCGTCCCCGGATAGCAACGTCTCACCATCGGAAGTGAAATCCTCGGGAGGCGGCTCGATCCCAGATGTATTGCCGGGGGGACCAGCATTGGCACCCTCAGTACCACCTTGAGAAAGACCCTTCGCTGGCACCTAAACTGATCCGCAGCTCCAGGCTTGGCGACAGTCATGGTCAGCATAGCGACATCTCCCGCACACGCGCCAAGTGGGCATTGCCGACGGCGATGACCAGGGCCGTTGAATTGCAGATCGGGCAAACACGCGGCTGGCGACGGTACCACATACGGACCTCGAAGCCGGTGATGCGACTAGATGAGGGGATGTCTTTCTCCTGTTTCGCCAGAGACATCTTGACAGCGCGAGACCCTGTAAAAGAAGTCTGGGAAACCACCAGAAGGAGTCCCCAAAAGGAGGAACGCACTTTTGGTGGCGTCAGGAACCTCCCCTGGGAGGTTACCCACATACATCAGGCGGAATTGCTGCTCCACGGCTGTCACACGGATGGTCTGTTCACCAGAACGGTAGCCACCCTCCAACACACGGTCGGTTGTAGGACAGCTGATCTACGAAAGTCACCCAGATGGTGCACAAGAACTGCACCGAGCGGAGCTTACTGTGGTCGAGAGACTCCATCAGACGAGGGAGGACATCGGCAGCACCAACGCCCGGGGGGGGGGGGGGGCCCCAAAGGGGCACCAAGGGGACAAGAAGACGCAGGGCGGGGGGGGGTGTGTGGGGGAGGGGGAGCCCAGCGGAGGGGGGAGGGCAGGGGCCACCACCAGCGGCGGGGGGGGGGGGGGGGGGCACCAACGGTAAGGTAGACCGTGTTCCAACAAACTACGCTTGGGCCATACCAAGTTTAAGCCCTGCTGGAGGGGAAACAAAATTGGATGGGTACGGTGACCGAACGAACAAGAAGATCCGGAGGAAATATGGCGGAACAAAAAGGCTAGCCACAAACCTGACATACTGAACCAAGCCAATCTTGTAAGGCGATGCTACCAATGCCAATGTTGACCACGGACGGTCTCTACCACGCGGAGGTAAAAATACATTGTCCAACTGGAGCCAGCCTCGATGCAATCAGTCATCAGGAATCATGTTTTTTACGATTGATTGCATTTTGCATTTTGTGTCCGCAGCGAAGAGGGGGACTCCCAGGTTTTTCTGTTTAGGACCGGTGAACCTGGGTTCTAATTGTAAATGTCAGCAGTGAAACAAACAGAGCAGGCTCAGAGTGACCTTACGATGTTTTTATGATCGAGAATGGCAGTGAATATTTTTATTTCCTTCGTATTATTTCCTTATTAATCATCATCTTAACTCGTGATAAAGATGTGGATCAAGCCAGAAGAAGTACTTCTCGCCAATGCTCTTTGGTAAATACGAGTCGATACCAAATCAAAATTTCAACCATTTACGAATAGGCGCCACAAAGAAGACGACCACGGAGGCCTTTCGATAATTTTAGTATTTTTGTCCATTTTTAGGGTGACTGAAAGAGCGAATCCCTACTTTGTTCTCCAACGAAGAAAGGGTCATGGTGGCGGCGGATTGACTTCGCTTTTGATCGGAACATTAGATAATGTTTTAGACACGAAGGTATTTCTGTGTAGTAAAAAATTAAGTTTTCCGCTAGTGATTCATTTGAATTTGGCGATTCACGCATTTTACGAGCTTTGGACAGCGACATGTTTGTTTTGATGTTTTTTTTCGTTGTTGTTGTTGTTGTTTTTTTTCAACTTTCTGCTGTGTTTGTTTCATGTTTTACAGCCTGCCCCGTTTCGAATTCTTCTGCAACTACCCAGCTCTGACATAAGCTATGGTAAGAATCTGGTTATTTTATAAGCTAAGCTATGAAAAATTATTCATAGTATGCACGAGTATGCCAGTGAATCCAGTTATTAAAAGAGAAAGGCTGACTTTATGTGGTCCTCTTTTCTTTTGGAGTCCACTCTAAGTGTTAAAAATTCTGAAATTTTATATGACTGGCAGAACCTAAACTACTAGGCAGCATTTGAGGGCCTCACTTAATCTCTAGAATGGCTGCACCTAAGAATTGGGCTGACAGGGTACAGAGAAATTTGGAAGCACATATAGGGACTTGGGGACGTGAAGTATGGAATGTGGCCATGGGGAGGTATAGTGATACAGGGATGAGAAGCATGGGTAGTGGGCATGTAAAATATGTAAAATATCTCTTGATGTCAGTCATCATTGTAACTTGCACATGTTTGTATACCTGTCAAGATGGTGCTTAAAACAATGATGAGGTCTTTTGGAGTAACTTTGTCACAGGTGTAAAGTTATTAGAGACAAGACAAACAGGAATGTCGAAGATACACAGGATCACTAACTCATTTGTTACAAGATGGCGGACCAGAGACCAAAAACTGGGCCCCAGTGCCCAGTTCCCCCTTGGCACAAAGCTAGGCATACTATGACACAAGGGGCATCACGTAAAGATGTTTCAGTCTCAGCATGTCATTGTGAGGTTTTTTTTTGTTTTGTTTTTTTTCAGTTGGTTTTAGGGAACTTAAAGTATTACTACCCTAAAAATGACCAGGACAGTTTTGATCCAGTGACCATGGAAACTGTAGGTCAGAGTTTCTCTAAGTCCAAGTCCTAGGAATAGGGGAAGTCTTTATGTTTAGGTTATCTCCATGAAGACCATACACTTGTAGGGAACCTATCTGTAAAACCTGGTCCTCACAAGTGACACAAACTACTTCCTATCTTATTTACCAGTTATTGCAAGTGCAGCGTCATTCAGTGAAATAGAGGCTGACTGGAACTGGCTGGCAAAATATTTGTTGGAAACATTAGGTATCGTAGTAGTAATAATAATAATTGTTGCAGACCCAATATGCCTGTGTCCATCTTCTGCCCTCCCCTTCTGAGGGGAGGGGGTGGCTGTATACAGGCTAATATTATTAGGCTTCAGAGCAGGAAGACTCAACATGCTAGCATGAACATGTTGATAGGGAGCTGTTTTACAAGTGGGTTGCCTGTGGCTCTATCGTCACAGGGCTGGACCATTGTTTAAGGTCTTAAAATAACTGGGGTAGAAAGTACTGTGTATATCTTTGCCTAGCAAAATGGTTAGACCTTCCTGTGGCTGCGATAACCTGGCAGAAAAGACCCAGTCCCATCTCCAGTCGGAGATGTTAAAACACTTTCTTCGATTACTGTACTATATACATCTACATTTGTGACGTAAATAAAGCTGGTTTTTTCCATCAATGGATTCTGTACATTTTTAAGTAATGTTTAGCCTCTCTTTGGGTACCTACAGATGTTGTTTTTGTCGTGCATTTTCCAACAAATCATCATTTTTTAAAAAAATCGTCACATATCAGAATAGTGTATTGTTTTGCATGGTGATGTAACTTGTGAACCCAAGCAAACGATGGAAAGGAAAAAGCAACAGGTTTAATTAGTGAAAAAAAAAAACTCTGAACTTGCAGCACACTTTCTGGCAGATTTCTTTGTTGTCATCGCAAGACTAATGTTGTCAAACTTGCTCAAAATGGCTTTGCAATAATTGTTTTAATATCAGATCATTGTTTCATCAATAGCAATCGTAGCAACTTTTATTTTGTTGAGAAAAAAAATAAAACAGTAAAGAGGCTCAATATTTAATTGAAGTTTCTTCAACAATGGGATGTATTTACTTGTAAATTTCTTGCCTTAGTCAACTTTATATAAATGGAACTAAGGTATATATGGGAAAGAGCTTCATTGATACTGCTAGGTTAATAGTAATTACCAAGGGTCCCACTGGTAATACAGGTTTATACCATGTCTGTTGTGTTTGTAATGTTATCAGTCATGTTCTTGTATCAAACAAAATTATATTTTGTGATCTAGAGGCAATTGAAAGTGACGAGGATGTCAAAGAGTTTGTGAAAGCGAAGATTGAGAGTCTAGTGGCAAGTGTCACAACTGACCAAGATGTTGTGACAGAAACAGAAACCAGCAGATTTAAATCAGCAACAATAAGATTTCACAGGATCTTTAACATTCCAGCAGATGAAAAACTTGTGAACTGTATGTTGTTTAACTTGTAATTTGATTTTAATGTTCAATTTTGTGGCGTGCTTTAGGTTAACCAAGAGACTGGACTGATTTTCTTCTGGTTTGTTAGCTTAATGACCTATGTGGAATGTTCAGCGAATGCAAGGGAAGCTTGAAATTGAATTACCAGTTTTTTAGTATTCTCTTGACATCTTAAGAAGGTTTATTATATCAGTAAGGCAACTTAAAGCTTAGTCTGTTGCTTGTATATTACATTACACTTATTTCATAATTTATAATTTTTTGAGTTCTCTATAACGTGGAAATGAAACAATGAATTCTGCATCCCTGTAGTTTAGGTCTCAGTTATTGAATTGATCTAGTTACTTTTAATGAAAACAAGGGCAACAACTTGCCTTGCAGTGCAGTCTTATTAGCTACAAATTAGTAATAAGATTTTTCTCAAAAAAAGTGTTCAAAGTTACCAGTTGGGCATTCAACCTGTGCATTGTGAAGGAAGTTACTCATGTTGAGCTACATTTTAAGGTATTTACGAGGCTCATATAGATGCACGTCAATTAATTTTGTAAATTACATGTCCCATTATCAAATAATTTTCCATTACTAGATTACTCCTGTAGCTACTGGAAGGGAAGAGTTCCTCGTCAAGGTTGGCTGTACTTGTCAGTAAACTACATGTGTTTCTATTCATTCTTAATGGGAAAAGAGGCAAGGCTTGTCATCAGGTGGCTGGATGTGGTGGTATGTACAGTAAAAAAATTGACTTTCTTGAAGAATTTATTGGCATCATTAAAGAGAGAAACAGCCTCATTGAACCATTTACAAATCCCAGTATCCACAAACAAAGTCCTCCAGACTGATCTGTGTACATTTCCTCAGAGAATTAGTTGAGAGAATAATTTAAATTATCATTTTATTGACTCCCATAATGTTTCCTCTTGATTATGTATTGAAATTGTTAGAAAGAAAATTATTGATGTTGGTCACTCTTGGGAGTGTTAACAAGTGAATAAAATGGGGTCTGGGAGTATAGTTGTCCTCCCCCTCCCCACTTTTACTTAGATATTTCTTTATTTAAGAGACAAACTGTGTTTCGTACGTGTAGAGCTGCTCCCTTCTCAAGCAAAATCCTAGACTTCCTCTCACTTTGTGCTCTTTCGCTGGCAAACATTGGCATCAAATGATCAGTTTGAGAGTTTTGTACAAACATGAAGAAATGAGAATCATGAATTAGAAATTCTGCGGAGGGAGTGGGGGTGAGAGGGGGGGGGGGCGCATTCTTTAAGGGCAAGTTTTTTAAAGGAAAGTGTGAGGCTAAACTGGAATTTCTAAAGCGAGGGAAGATGGGGTGGTTCAAGCCAAAAACCCTTTGTAGGTGTAGGGTGAGTACGGATATTTACATTTTGTAATGTTTAGTCCTTAGAAAGAAGCAGCAGTGTTCTGTTCACTGATGGTGTCAAGGTTGCAACACGAGAAGGAGAGGTTAGTAAATGCCATCAGGGTGTTAGACTTTCCTTTCCTTTTCTAACATCTTCTTGTTTGTAATCAGTGGTCATTCACATTATGATTTATTCAGTTTTCTTTGTTTTAGATTATGGTAGTAGTTCTATTCAAACTATAAAACCTGGCTTGAAAACAGAAGAAACTGACAATGAAAGCTTTTCAAAATTGCAGTAAAAAAATAGCCAGTACAATGAAGCTGGGGGAAAATCACTACCTACCATGTGTTTTTGGCTGGGTACTTTGCTGGGTAATATTCCTCTGATTCTTTTGTAAAAGATGGCAAAATAAGCCACCTACTTCAACAATAAAGCCACCCTCTTTAAAAATCTCTGATAACCTTTTTCTTAAATATTTTCCTAATGTGTTGCACCTGCTTCCAAGAAAATGTCCTTTAAATATCCTTGCCTTCAGTTACTACCCCCCTCCTCTGTTCCTTTTTTTGGATCATTTTACGTTTCTGTGAAACTGCCCACCTACCCCTCCCCTAAACCAACATTAACACTCAGTTTTTACTTTGGGCAAAATGTTGGCATAGGGGAGGGGTAGGTGGGCAGTTTCCAAGAAACATAAAATGATCCCTTTTTTTACCTACATGTACCTACCCTCCCCTCTAACAGCCAATCACCCAGTTTTTTGATGAGCCTGCCTGATGTGTCTTACATTTCTCTTTATATAGCCTGTATTTGGGCCACCCTTTGAACTGATTTTGCACTACATTCACCTTGACAATAATCCCTAATTTCTTTGTATTTGTTCTATTTCAGTTTAGTTTTTCTTTGTTGCTACACATTACAGAAACATTTGGTCTCATGGAACAGCTAGCTAACCTGGCTATGAGACAGTAAGACAACCATTTTGTTAATCTTGAGTCTTTTGTGTTATTGCCTTTAATTTAAGTAGTTTTGTTAGGTCATCTTTAGTGGTTGCTTAATTTTTATGCCAACATCCCTAAATTTAAAAGATTACATAGGACTTTTGCAGGTGCTTGGTTAAAATGCCTGTGAAAATATATTAGTCAATTTTATTGTTGAATTCCTGTAAACAAAGGACAAATCTTCTTTACCCTTAAAACGTTTCTCTGCCTAGGAGTAAATTATTATTGCATTGTCAGCGTGCAAAGAAAGTGGTGTCCGATAGCCTAGGGTTTGGGATTTGCTATGGGGCTAGTGATTTTTGTTCTTAACTTGCCCGACAGGCAAGTGCCGTTTTTTGAGGGAAATTCAAATTACAGAAGGATTGTAATCAATTCTGCTAATCAAAAAGGGTTTGGGGGCTAGTTGAAATGACTTGTGGGCTATATAGTACATGCTAGCAGCAGCTTGCCCGAATGGCAGGCTGTAAAACTGCCTTTCTTTGCACCCTGATTGTATAAATACAGGTGCACTGTACAGTAGTTACAACTTTTAAGACTCTGGATGAAAATGTTAATCCTGTGATGTGGCCATTCATATGAAAAATCTGGCAGTGAAATAAAATGCATGGTATCTTCTATATTTTATAATTCTCAAATTTGATATTTGTTCTTGAATTTTGACTCTTACGTTGTGGTACAGTATTTACAACTGTAAGCGTACACTTTACAATATATGAAATAAACTGATCATTTTTTTGTCAGACTGTTGTCAGAAGAAGGTTACGAAGAAGATAAAACACTTCCTTTATTGACAAAGTAAGTAGCTTTGTTGAATAAATCTTTTAAGTGGCTATGTCATGGTATTTGCTATCTTTTTAAATGCATGAATTGAATTCCAAAAATAATGGGGTAGTTGTGTTACTTAAGATTATATAATTTAAGCATTGAAACTGTTTCCCGTCATTTACTGCTAAGGATGGAAAGGATGGACGTGGATTGAAACTTGAAAAAGTTGGTCCAACGGTTTCAAGTTTTAATGCCTTACCTGCAAAAATCCTCACCCAATCGCACTGTTCAAATTTATTCGATATCTTCTTCATAACCCTACAGGAGCATATTGTTTATGGGTAAAGGCACTAAGTAACGACTTGTATAAATAAATAAATAAATAAATAAATAGCGATTTTGAGGTAGCCCATCCACAGAGTGGTTCTTCATCTACCTGATTCCTGATCAAATAGACCTTTTTACCAATACGGTGGCCGTATTGAATTAATTCAATTTAAGGAGTATTATAGGATGCCCAGGGGGCATGAGTACATTTTGTTTGTATTTTCAAGTGCTTTTCAGGACTTTTCTTTTTCTTAAAGTTTTCTAAGAATAATATTGTAATGGGAAAAAAGATCCTTGTACAGTGTTTGGATGTAATAATGATCGTCTTTTTCTAGTTTAGTATTAGAAATATGGTCTTTCACTGTATATTTCTCTGGAAAAAGGCGATCATTATTACCTCCAAACATGGCACAAGGATCTTTTTTCCGATTACAATCTTATCCTAAGAAAACTTTAAGAAAAAATGTCCCGAAAAGCACTCGAAAATACAAACAAAATGTGCTCATGCCCCCTGGGCATCCTATAATACTCCTTAAATCGATTTAATTCAATATGGCCACTGTATCAGTAAAAAGGTCTATTGGAATTTGGAAATGTTGGCTTTTGAGGAGAGGGGAAAACCGGAGTACCCGCTGAAAAATCTCTCAGAGCAAGGGAGAGAACCAACAACAAACTCAACCCACATATGGCATCGAGGCCCAATAGGTGGGAGACGAGTGGTCTCACCACTGCGCCATCCCTCGCTTAAGCGCAGAGGTGACCTACAAAAGCTGTGTAAAGACAGTTCATCACAACTTTTCACAGATGTAAAAATAATACATTAATTGTTTTCTGTTCTAAATCACAGGAACAGGGGTAAATCAATAAAAAAGATGCCATCATTGAAAAGAGACTTGGATGCCAGAGCACAGAGTGAATTCTACAGGTAAGTAAATGAAATTAAATCAACCTGTAAGTTTTAAATCATTCAAGTAAATTTTTGTTCCTTAATATGACGCATAACTTGAACCAATCACTGGTGAGTCAATCCCTGTGCAGATAAGATAAGATAACTTTATTATATCTCTTCAGGATATCTCTATTTACAAAATTATGAACGTGTGATAAAAATTAAAAATTTATTATCATAAGAGTACTAAAAGTACGAAAAATACAAAAAGCAGAGAACAACAAAATTAATTATTGAAACGAGATATTTAAAAAAAGATATTTTGCCGCATGGCAACATCACGATTGGCTAGTAAATAATTGACATGTTCACTTTTATCGCTTATTCTGTTAAAGATTTCTTCTGACAATTTACAGAATCCATGAGGCGAATCAGGTTTAGATAACTTAAAGAGGTCAAGACCAGCCTTGAAGGCGTAAATACTTGTTGAGTTTTGTACATGTAGTGGCAGCTGGTTCCAATATTCGATAACTCTATTGTTAAAGAAGTCATGTGCTGATCATAATAGATGATGAGAAGTGACATTAAGATTACGAGTTCGATAAGCTGTCTTCATCCCAAACATACTGTGACCATAGTTCACAAAACAATTAAGTCACCACGCATTCGACGTTCCAGTAAAGTCGTTAATCTGAGACGCTGTAACCTTAGACGATAAGAGAGTAGGCCCATGCCCCCAGTTATCCTGGTAAACTGTCTTTGGCAGCTCAAGGTTTCTGAGTAAATAGAGTAAAAAACCTTTTAAGAAAGTTTCTTCCTCAATATACAACACAATTACTCAAATTTAAACAAAGACTGTTAAATAAAAATTTAATACAGTGGAACGTGGTTAATATGGACACCAAGGGAACATGCCGTACTGTCCGATTAATGTATGAGATTTTTGTCACAACAAACGAAACTGTCCGTTGTATACAGCTATTTCAAGAAAGGTTGTCGGAAAAAGTGCACGCGACAATCCCAAAAGGTATTGTGGGTGATTTCGAGTTCACTTTTTTTCAAAAAAATTTCAAAGAATGGCACGAGAAGCCATGGACGTATGTTTGCGAGTGCTAAGAGAAAGCAACAATAGTAGATTCGACAGCTACAGTGTCAGGAAAAGTGCATTGATCATATCCCATATTACCTTTCGGGATTGTCGCGTGCACAGTTTTTCCGACAACCTTTCTCGACACAGCTGTATGGGTGTTCGTAGAGTGGAACTGTGAATAAAAAATTGAGAATCAATAAAAATATATTAATGTATTGAGAACCAAGTCTTGATTCAGGACTCAATTCTGGTTTCGTAATTTCTGAGAGGATCAAGTGTCATGTATCAACTTACTTTTGAATGGCGTTGCATGATATGTTGCACAATAAATAACAATAATTAACTTTTTCCCCATCTAGAAATTTGTTTCGCCTGCCAGTTGAAGAGAAGCTTGATGGCCACTGCGAATGCACGTTATGGAGTCCCCATGAAAAGGGGCATGAGTGGGGAGTGCTTTATTGCTCCCCAAACTACCTGTGCTTCAGTAGCAAGGTAATTTACCAAAAAAGTATATTTCTGACTGTTGAGAGTTACTGCGCTTTTCACAAACATGCGAACTCTAAAGTTCAAAAGCCGCCTTCACAATTGCGTTTTTCGCTGCCGTCAATCATAATTGCGATCACAAGCAACGAACCTTGAAACACAGAAACACACAAAACGGATCGAAATCCACCAATCACAAATCACAAACCTTCACCTTTTGAACCCGTCAAAGTAAAGTTTTGTTTCCTAAGAGGTCCGTTAAGATGATTGACGGCAGCGAAAAACGCAATCGTCAGTTGGCTTTTGAACTTCCGAATTCGCATGTTTGTGAAAAGGGCAGTAATTACTGTTTAGTGTTCATGGTTCCAAGAATTAGAAATGAAATTGGATTTTTGCCGCAGTCTATTAAACCGTCAATCAGTAACCTACACAGAGCCGGGGGAATCGTTAGCTCAAGCAAAGTTTTGGCAGAGGAACTGTGAAGCATTATAGCTAATGGGGAGGAGACAAAGCTGCGAGAATGGTGGCCTCGCCACCAAAACAGCTGCCTCCTTGGGTATTAAAATATTGTTATCAAAATTAACATGTTCTTATATATTTTCTTTAAGATACGGCAGTTGTTGTCTGTGGTTATTCCAATGAGGGAAATTTCTTTGGTTGAGAAAGTGGAAACTTCAGCCCTCATTCCAAATGCAGTGCATATCACAACAAAGTCAAAGGTTAGTACACGGCAGCTTATTATTGAAGTGGTTGTTAGATCATCAAAATGGAAGCGATGAGTTGTTACAGCTTTTTGCTCTGCTCTGCAGATGAACTTCCTGTTTGCTTCTTTGCGAGATCGAGACTATTTAACAAGGCTGATTTCAGACTTCCTGGCAAAAACGCCTGAACCTAAGTAAGTAAAACTACATTGATGTACACGTTTAGTAAACAAATTGTAACGATATTATTTTAATCCAGTTAGCGCTATATACAGCTGTATGTTTGTAAATCAAAGGGAGAATTGCATATCATATCAAATGACTCAAGGTATTAGTGTATAAACCCCTGAACAGCCCTTGAAATCTTGATTAAATCTTGCCTATTGCATTTCTAATCAGATCTAATGATAAAGATGAGTGGATATTCGGCAGCAGTCCGCCAAAGAAGAAACCAACATTTCAGCCACCCCTTACGACTGTGTTTTCTAGTACTCCTACTGATCATGTGAATGCTAAAGAGACTGTCAAAGAACATTTATGGAGACTGCATTTTGCAGAGTATGGAAGGTAAATTCCCTTGACAGCCAGTGTATTCTCCAAGTTGTAGAGCGTGGAGCGTAGAAGGAAAGTGAACAGACTAACTTTAATGTACAAGACGCTACATGGCCAATGGCAATCAATATACCACCTTATGTGGAACACAAAACTGTAATGAAAACTAGAAACTCTGACCCAATGAAGTTTATTCCAGTACAAACATCATGTGATGAGTATAAATTATACATTTTCTGGTCTAGAACAATAATATTAATGACGGGAACAGTTTACCGCCAAATATCATAAACATGACCCCAATAAGTAATTTTAAAGCTGCTGTAAATATTTATATCTCTGCTTAAGTTTTAGTTTTATCAACTTAATTATTAAGTGATTATTATTTATTTCATCATTACTATACCACATTATTTATTACCTTCAAGCACATATTTATTATTTATTTTTATTCTTGCACTTTGTACTGGAATTTTCTAGATGTCCTTATACGATTTTGCAAATAAATTATGTAGATCATGTAGATGTAGATAGACGTGACACAAGTCTCAGTGTTAAAACTCACTCTCTGTTTTCACCCTTGCTCTAAACCTGTCATTTGACAGCTAGCGCATTCTTGACCTAAGCAAAAACTGGCTGTTAAGCCATACTGTTATGTTAATGTTGCCTTTTATTGTAGGGGTGTTTGTATGTATCGTACCGTTAAGACACATGACTTGATACTCAAAGGAGTTCCTGACAGTCTGAGAGCTGAGGTGTGGCTTATATTCTCTGGTGCCATCAATCAGGTAATGTGCAAAATGTAAGGTAAAAACGCACTTTGAACCTACAGCCCACCCAACACGATCGGAGATTAACTTGCTTTCTGCAGGATGAAGGACCTAGTAGTGTTGCTACTCTCCCGGGCCCAGTTGTTCGTAGACCGATTACGGTAGACCGATTTTCCTTTTTCCTTTGTTCAAAAGCATTTTCTCGTATGATGTTCTCTATTATTTTTAACGGTTGATTGACATTCACCGACATTTGGACCGAAGAAAAACCTAGACTGCAAAACAGTCCGTATTTTTGCGTATTCAAGTACGCGCGAGCAGTCAAACAAAAGGTCTGGAGCGAGGCTGAAAACGGAGAGCGAGACTCTCGCCTCACACGCCTTAGGGGCGTGTGAGGCTCTCGCGCTGCGCGCGCGCAAGACTCCTACGCCACTCTTTACCGATTTCTTTACTGATTTTGAGAAAGAAACCGACTGTTTTGCAGTCTAAGAAAAACCCTTTAACGGCGCCTGTTAGTAGTAACCGCAGTAAATGAAGGGTGACAGAAAAAATTAGTCACTTTGTAGAGAGGACTCTTCAAGTGTCCACTACATACAGATACGTGGTTTGGTATATTGTGCTATTTAAATGCATTTAGACAACACGCAGTCGTTCTTTTTTCTAAGTCCATCGAGCAAAGCGCGCGTGACTGAAGGCGTCTCGCGCGTCTCCCTTCACTTAATTTGAAGAAAAAGAAAGACTGTTCGCAGTCTAAAATGCATTAATTTTGTCAGACGTTTCTGTTGTCTTTGCTTCTCAATAGTTAATACGTCGGGCAGCAAAAGGAGTGACATTTGTTGTCATTTTTTACCAAAATTACGCAAGAAAACAACGACGCTCACTGAGTTTGGAAAGAACCTGTTTCGGACGCTTACCATTTCCAGTTGAGGGATGTTTAATAAATTGCCGATCATTTCTAGATTTGATGACAAAAAAGTGCTTACATTTGTACATTTTATTGTTGCAGATCCAAACCCATCCCGGTTACTATGCAACATATGTTGACGAATGTGAAGGAAAGAACTCATTGGCAACAGAGGAAATTGAACGAGACCTTCATAGGTGAGTTTTTGTAAACCAAGAGAGCCATATGGACTTCATTACATGTCTGATCCCGCGTTGTGGGTAAGAGGTAGCGAATCCTGTGTTGTGTTTGACTACACGACCGTGCAAAATGAGATGGGCCTAACTTGCCCACTCGGGATCGCTTGATTTGTCGGGAAAGAAAAGATTTTGTTCTGTCCATATGATAAACCCTTTATTGACCAAGCTTGTTCTGTGAAGATGGGTGAATATTAGCCTCGTCCATTTTTCATCTTGACCTACTTTGTAACACGTGGTCAATAACGCACGTTTAGCAGGAAGTATTGGTTTGTAATGGTTTAACCCTTTAAGCCCCAATATCCACATACAAATTCTCCAAACTGATCTCTATACATTTCCTTTAAGAATTAGTTGAGAGAATTTGATAAAAGATCAAAGTATTTTCTCTTAGGTGATCATTTTATCAATTCTCATAACCTCATCTCATGATAATGTATGGATATTGTTAGGAGAAAATTGCTGTTGGTCACTATTGGGACTTAGAGGGTTAAAATAGAATCAATCGCACTTCTACGTGTGACCACGTCTGCTACTTGAACTGCCTATCCAACCTACATGTACCAAATTTAGTTTCCCAGTCCGAGCAGGAAAGTTGGTAGCTCCTGATAGGACCATCTAGTCGTGACGTGTTGGTTGGTCGCTTTTGGGATGCTGGGCTTTAGTAGTATCACTTCTATTAAACCTTCCAAAAAATGCTGTGAATATAATGTTGCTCTCCACTCTTGAAGTTTTGTTTGTCTTTTCAGATCGCTTCCTGAACACCCTGCTTTCCAATCTGAAGTGGGAATTGCTGCCTTGAGAAGAGTTTTAACAGCTTACGCTTGGAGAAACCCCAGCATAGGTTGGTACATCATTGAAAGAACACGACTTATTATGTAACACAGGACTCAATCCTGCAGGAGTAACTAGTTATTAGGAAATTTAAGCAACCACAGCGGTAACAGCGGCGAGAACGACTCTTGAATATGTGCGATTCCCACTTTAATTAGATGATTACAACTCGCTTAATTTGTCAAATGTTAGCGAATGATTGTACCGGAATTGAATTCTTAGAGACCGTAACCTCCCCCGCAGACATTCTTAGGGGTGCGTCACGCGTTCCTCCTCCCACGAAGGAACGCGTGACGCACGCCTAAGAATGTCTGCGGGGGAGGCTATATGGACCGCGCCTAAGGCAAGAAAGACAAAAAGCAAGTGGCGGTCATGCATTTACCTTCTCCATACTAACGTCGTTTTGTGAAGTTTCACATCGCAATCGTTTAGTGACGGCAACAGAAGGAAGAGTGTAAAAAGTGTAATGCCATGCAGAGTTGTTGTTTTGCTTATTCAACCATTGCTTTTTTTACCGCTCGTGTTACATAATTGTTGATTTATTTTGGTATAATGATGTTGTAGCAACATAGAATGCTCCAAGACAGGCCAACAACTGAATATTTGAATAAAATTATCGTATATTTACACTTTGTAAAAGATCCCAGATTGACCAGCTTGTTTAGGGTGAGGGGTGTTGTTTAGTTGCGGCAAGTTTTTTTTTGTTTACGGTTATTACTGGACCATTTCCCTTGATTTTCCTTGCAATTAATTTCATTGGTTTTGCTCACAGTGGAAGAATTACCTTCAGTTACCAAAAAGTTTTTTTTTTTCAATTTGAAATAAAAGATCCCTTCTCATCTTTTAGGGTATTGTCAAGCTATGAACATTGTGGCGTCAGTGCTGCTATTGTACTGCACAGAAGAGGAAGCCTTCTGGTTGTTAGTAGCTGTTTGTGAACGTCTCTTACCAGACTACTATAACACTAGAGTAGTAGGAGCTCTTGTAGATCAAGGTGAGGCGGGCGATACTACAGCAGGCTTTGATGTGTTCTCGTTTCAATGGCGAAAGTAATTTTGTAACTGCCTCGGTTTTGTGATTGACTGAAAATTCTCGCGCCACTTTCTCAAATAGTCTGAAGTAAAAACAGTTCATAAAGTTACAGTTGAACCTTCACGAAGCGGTCACCCTCGGGGTATCGGCATGTGGCCGCTTGATGAAGGTTAGCCTCTCAATAGAGGCTCATTATAAATTAGCATAATCTTTAGCAGAAACATACGCATTACTGATCCCAAGATACACAATCGGTCGTCACCTTCTATCTCGGAATGTATTTTCCTTTATCATTTTCTTGGAATAAAGGAAAACTAACTTTGTCAAGCGCTTGATGGCCGCTTAATAGAGGTGACAATGGCCGTCGCTACTTGATGGAGGTGGCCGTCTAATTTAGGTTTAATTTCCCATTCTTTTCTACAGTTACTTTGGGACTTCGATTACTAGCCGCCTAATAGTGGCCACTTAATGGAGTTCTAACTGTATTACCTCCTTGCGTGCTTTTTCCCGCGCTGATTGCCTCTTTGTGAAAATCTCGGGCCACTTTCTCAACCAATCAGACGTGAAAACAGTCACAACCTATAGCATGCTTTTTCCCGCGTTTGCACTTGCTGGGTGTCTCTACCTTCAGTTCTGATTGATTCTTTGTGTCAGCAGTCATCGGACAATGGCCGACTAAAATTAGCCCATGTCCGACGAAATCTTAACTGTAATCAGACGTAATGTCCAGACAAATACTATCGTTTTGTGCGGTGAATGAAGTCTACGTTGAGCACATGTTAATTTTCGAATCAACGAGATAATATTATTGCGGAAAATATATCGCAATAATCAGTCTATCTGTGAATCCCACATCTGCTGTGCACAATGTTCTTTGAAGACATGTAATTCGTCCTTGGTTGAGTCCAACCTTGTTCTTTGTTTTTTGTCCTTCCAAAATGATCACTTAGCCGAACATACGTCCTTTCAATAAAGACAAATAATTCAGTTTCCATTCTATGTACACTGTAAACTATAAAGGAGAGCTTAAACGGTATTTTGATGGTCTAGTATTTACATGTATATGTGTTATAGTAGACTTGGGACAAGGGAGAATTTTCCCCAGAAGAAGTACCATTCGCCTATTTTCATGATGCGATCTTTGATGAATTTCCTTTTCTATATCCAGGTGTATTTGAAGACCTCACTAGGGATCACTTGCCGGAGTTGTACGATCATCTGATGGAACTTGGAATTCTAAACATGATATCACTCTCCTGGTTTCTGACTCTTTTTCTCAGGTACTGTCACAAAAATTTTGTAGGGAACAACAACTACCACGAGAACAACTCGCATGATAGCTGCCAGTTTCCATGGATCTTAAAGTACGAGGAACGATTCGCCGCGAAAACGAGAGGCGAGACCGCGTGAGAAAAGAGAAGAGGAAGAGAGGAACCGCCTTTGCTGCGCCTTATTTCTTTTTGAATTTGTCGCTCGTATTTTTCCGCGAATGAAGTTTCCTTTACCGAGCTCGAACGAAACCGCCAGCTTCGCAGGCTACCTGCATGACCAAAGCACCTTTAAGTCTTGCTACTGCGCTCCCCTCCCCTCCCCCTTATATTGTACACCGCGACCTGGTGGGGGTGAGAATGTGTATTGTACACAGAGCTGATTGTCGGAGGTCCCTATAAGTTCTTAGGTTCGGAAACTGCTTTGTATGAGCGATGTTTGCGTTGTAATGAATTTCATAGTCACGAAAGCAGCAACTTTGGGGAAAAGCCTGCTTTTTCTTCCTTTTCCTTTTGATTTTATGAAAAGCAGCTCCGGATTCAAAACGTTGTTCAAAAAACAAGACACGTTTCTAACCAGCTTTGATAGTGAGATTTACGATGATTACAACAGATACTACTAACAGTTTATGTGAAGATAGTGCCTGCAATTTATTTCAACCTTTGTGATGTCTTTGTGGACATCCTAATGATAACTGTCGTCTTTGATTGTTGTTCATTGTAGCGTCATGCCATTCTCAAGTGCTGTTAGCATCATGGACTGCTTCTTCTATGATGGTGCAAAGGTAACTAACGAGATAATTTCCTCCAATTTCACTTGCTCGGACGGTCGCAAACAAAACGTTCATGTACGAGGGAAAATTATATTGTATTTAATTTTTTACTCTCAGTTCATTTTGAACTGCAACATATACGCATAAGTTCCCTGTTTGGTACATGTCCATTTCGTTGCAGAACGTTTTCTAACTCTGGTCGTCACAGTTATTTGTCCATTTTGCTAGTAGTAAAAAGATAGGAACGTTTGTATTTCACCTCTAAGGCCTGGTTTACACTAGCCTGTCAGCAAGCTCTGCAATTATGGTGAGTGAAGCGAACCGTGAGAGATCGGGTGAGCATTGTAAGGGCGGAGGAAATCTTTTGCCCTTCTTTTCCCCGCCTCTCGCACTCGCGGCCTTGCGTGCAGCTCACGCGTGACCTCTCGCTACCCAAAATGAATAGCTTCCTCGCAGGCTAGGTTTACACATATGACAGAAGCATCAGCAGGTGCAACATAAGCAAATCGAACAACTGGTTGATAACGAAACGCGTATGTTGTTCTTGCTGATGATTTCGTCCATATGTGAATTAGGCCGAAGATGCAGAAGTGAATCCTAAATCGACAGCATTTTTCAGGTGCTGTTTCAGATTGCATTGGCCACACTTGATGCCAACAGAAACAAACTTTTAGCAGTTCAAGATGATGGTGAAGCAATGACCGTATTAGGAAACTACCTGGAGCACGTGACAAACAGAGACGCCAACGTTCCGCCCTCCAATCAAGGAGCCTCCAACAGAAACACCGGGGTAAGGATCACTATTTGTCCAAACTTTTTTGTGTGTGCGTAGGTTTTGTTTTGACACGGTCCTATAATAGTTTAAAATATATCCACACTCATAAAAAATATCACATTCTTCAGTCTCAAGACACGCAAAGAACCAAAAATGTCGAAAATATTCGCTATTATGAAGGTAGCTTTCGTTTCCTGCTATGGCTTTCACTGGCGATTTGCAGTTTTTAAGAAGGTGTAGTCTGGGGCCATGCTCCTTGGTCATGGTGGGGAAAAAGGGAAAAAAGTCCGCTAGGTATAGGAAGCTTACTTACGATCTTCCCAACTCTTGGCGATATTTAGCCCCCTTCCCGCAAGCGGAGAACCTGTTGAAAGGCTAAAATAGCTGCAGCAGTCGACGTGGCAACAGAATCCCATCTCTTGGCGATATTTAGCCCCCTTCCCCCAAACGGAGAGCCTGTTGAAAGGCTAAAATAGCTGCAGAAGTCGGCGTGGCAACAGAAAGCACTTCGGAGAGATTGCCCGTCTTGAAAAGCTTGCATTCAGTTCGTTTGCAACGTTGTTCTGTTTGTATCTTCGTGTGTGCAGCCTGTTCGCAGACGTTTTTCTTTTTTCCGACAATCCCCGCGTTTTATATTTTCATACACGCGCTCGACTATCTCTAAAGAGAAAACAGAGGTATATAGGTTACCGTAAGTTTGCCCCAACACTGAGGAGACGTCATGTACGTGAAACAAATCGTCCTTAATCCTACCTTAGCCTTCCTTTGTCGACGACGAATGTTCCTCGTGTTTATTTCTCCGAGAATTCTGTAACATTTGAATCATTTTTTGTCGTCTCTAGCATCACAATACTGTGGATGTAGCCAACCTTATCTTAGAATCGTATCAGAAATTTGGCTTTATCGCGGCCGACACCATTGACTCCATGAGAAATGCACAAAGACTGAAAGTTGTACAGGTAAGCAAATTTTTGCCTCCCACGCGGACGTTCCGAGGGCTTTGTCACACGTTACTGCCCCGCGAACGTGCGTTACAATGTCCGAAAGTAAGCACAAGCATTGACCACTCCAGAAAATACCATAACATACCATAATGCTCTTTGTTTGTCACCCCAAAATTTTGCAGAAGCATTGTCTTCAGTTTCTCTTGGGAGTTCAAATGGCCCCTAGAGAAACTGAAAACAATGGTTATGCAAAATTTTGGGGCGACAAACAAAGAACATTATGGTATGTTATGGTATTTTCTGGAGTGGTCAATTAGTAAGCCCACTTTCGATATATTAAAATTTTAACATGACTCCGAGGTTTTCTAATCATTTTTCTATGTTTGTTTTTGTTTTCTTTGTGCTCGTCTCCTATGGGAATTGCGAGACAATGGAGTCGTGAAAAATTTGCAATTTTGTCCCTAAAGCCTCGGAGTCATGTGAGAATTTTAGAATATCGAACTTGGGCTATTAGAATGACGCAATTGGAGTGTTACCATTTGAAATTAAGCTATGATGACACTGCTGGACATACTTGGTGAGTGAAATCATCCTGGTAAACATAAAACCGGCTTGTAATCCTAAATAAAGTCAGGACACCCAAGGAACCACAGGAAACCTAAAGTTTGGTGTGCTGCTTGCCTTGGGGGTCTTGCACGTTAAGCGGGGAAAAAGTGAATACGGCAACGGCCCCTTACTGACCAGACGCACGGTAACATGGAATCTATTTGTTAATCAGTCACAACGCTAAATCTAATAATGGAGTTCTAACGTTTTTTTAATTTAAAAGGATATGAGAGAGTAATTTAAGAATTTCGTCGAAAGTCTTGTAGTATATGTTCATTTAATTTTTCCTAGGGATTAGAGGACAGTATGAGGAGAAATGCCGCAAGGTCGATCGGTCTGGAAGCATGTCTTTTCCAGCAGAAAGAACTGGAACAGTTATACGCTGTTTTTAAGGTAATTAACTCACCTCATTGCTGTCATGGCGGTGAATTATTAAGCTTAAGAAATTATGTCGCTCCAAGGACTGGGGAATAATGCATGGTTCCTAAGAACCGAGAAGAAAACTAAGGTGAGTCAACTTTCGCAAAAGCTTGTGGGATCATTTTTCTGGGGACGCGCCAGTCAGCTATTGGCCATTTTTTCCCCTTTCCCCAGTAACAGTCCCGAAAGTCTTGCGGCCTGTTAGAGGACGAAAAAAAAGGTCAGGGATAACAGAGAGGAGAAGTGGGACGTCACGTTACCATGGTAGCAAAACTATAGGGAGCTTAAGCAACGACGACGGTGACGGCAACGAGAAAGGCAAAAAAGCAAAAGGTTTATATTAGGAAAACAATAACTTTGCACGTGCATCACGCTTTTTTGTACATTTCTTAGCCGTCGTTGCACGACTTCGACGTGAAATTTCCTAATTTCACGCGCCCGCTTTGTAAAGTAGATGAACACAACACAATTTTTGTTTTTCTTAACTTAAATACGGTCCTTTCGGATTTAACCCCAGAAAATTTAGCCAACATTTGACAAATTAATTGAAACTGAACTAGATCGATGAAGTCTGAAAAAGTGCGGATTCACTTTTTAAGTGACGTTTTTCGGTTTGTTGTCGTCGAGAAATTTTGCTACCATGGCAACGTGACGTATCGACTTCTCTCTATTTATCACGCATTTCCTTTTTGTTTTTAAGGCAGGACATCTTCTGACTCGAAACCATGGCGAGGCCAAGGACACTCCTCCCCAGTTTCCTCTCATACAGAACCAGTGTATTGACTTGGAAAGATTTAAACCTTTATTTGAATGTCTCACTAACTGGGGGACTGGTGAAATCGGACCTATACTGGCCAAAAGAGCTTTCAAGGTCGGTAAAAACTGATATATTTCTTATGGGACGTTATCTACCCTGTAAAGAGTAGTTCTGCACAGACCATTCTAAGATGAAAGGAAATCTCGTTTTCAAAACAATATTTCTCGACATATATATATATAATGCTTTCCTATAAAATCCCCGGACTGAAGGTTACTCTTGTTTACCGAGTCATTATCGACATCATAAGCACGTACATCCCGCCGTGGTAACATTTATAAACTCTCCGCTAGACAGATAGACCTTCACGGCGAAACCTTCGCGTGGCTGGGATAACCACGTAAAATGACAATCCCGTTATCCAGGAGGCGACATAAAAATATTGTCCTAATTTAATACTTTAAGGCTAAATACATTGACAATCAAATACAGTGCTTTTTCTATTTTCAACATTGGGAATGACAGGTTATAGACGAAGATGAGGATGGCTTGATAACTTTCCGAGAGTTTGCCCAGGGTCTCGGCATCATCTGCAATGGCGAAACACATGATCGTCTGCTATTCATGTACCGCATGCATGTCCCACCGGCCATCTGTGACGATACTAGGGACAATAGTGATGCTGAGTCAATCGACAGCTGTGTAGAACTTAAAGAAAGCGGAAGTTCAGAAGACCTGTCACGTGACCAGCCTCCTCAATCTCAATGTGTTGCCGAAGAAAGACCAATTAGTGTTTTAGCGACGAGGGCAAGCGAAGAAAGGAACAGGAACAACAGTGAAAATAATGAAGACAAGAAAGTCACGGAAATTCCACCCATGAGTCAGGTATAAAGTTCAATGTAGCTGCTAGTAATGCGGGCCATTTTGCCTTGCCATAATTAAGTGACTGAGGAGTATCGGAAAAAAAAAACAAAAGAAAAATCAAGTTGGATTTATTTAGTGTCGCTCTGATCCCGCAACAAGCAGAGGGGAATAAAAATTTGTAGAGACCTTAAGATCGAGGTTTCTCACTCGTTTCTGCAAACCGCGAACGTCAAGAAGTCACGTAACTAGGGCCTTGCTGTCAGGTTTTCAGTTTGAGGTTCACGTTTGTACGGCTAGACCACCAAAGTTTTTGCTCCCGAAAACATCACAATCCCACGTTTGAGATGACATACTACTGTTTTAAAAACTCTTTTTCGTCGAAACGCAATCTTGAAGACGATTTCTCAGCTAAAATAGAACTCAACGAATGAATGAAAACAAACATGGCAGCCGCGAGCTACCACCTGCGAATCTTAAGTCCCAAATATGGGCAGACGCCTAACGTGAAACCGCTTTCCACAAACCGCGCTTTGCCGTTTGCGGTAAGGTTGCAAAACCTCGATCTTCAGGTTTCTAATGTCGTCGGTTACCGGTCGGCATGTACTCGTCAGTCTCGGGACGTTCTCTCTTCACGCTCCATCGCCCGCACGTATCTATAACGTCACTGAATTACTACGTTGACACTGTCCCCAGAAGCTTAGGCATCGCCATGCGTGAGTGGACCGTAACGCCAAGGTATTGATTTTCTGATTTTAATTGATTAATTAATTATCTATTGATTTGAAAGAATTGCTTAGTAGATAATGAGGTTAAGACAATGAACCCCCCCCCCTACCCCCCATCGGTATTTGTAAGTGCTCATTCAGCTTAGTTATAAAGGAGACGTTTCCTTAACTGACTATTAAACTCCATTTCCCTTGTCTTCTAGGAGAACTTTATCATGTTGTGGAAGACGTTGTATTCGCTGTTTCGTGAACTTCCTAACGAACAGGAAATGTACCAGTCGATTGCTTCCGTGGGAAACATGCTGCTAAAACTGGGAGAATTTGGAGGAGAATTGGAAACCAGCGGAGAAAAAACCGCTGATCAGAAAACAGAAAGTGTAGCTATGGATCGGTTTATGGACCCACTACATGTAGCCGAACTCGAATCCTCTACATCCAATTCGGTTAACCTAGTGGTTGAACCTAATGAAGTGACAGTCACCTCTGAACTGGGCTGTCCGCAATTAGTAAAGGAGGCATTAATGGACGCTGCAAGGAGTAGTGAATCCTCTCTCAGTAGTCCTGTAAGAAGCTCAAATGGAGAAGATTTTGTTCTCGTGGGGAGTGATGACGGGTTTAGTACACCTGAACAGGTCCCCTCCAATGAGGAAAGCACACTGGATACATTAGGTGAAGTCTATAATAAACTGACACTTGGGAATACTGTTTCTTCTCCTGGTAGCGTTTCTAAAGCCACGGACGCTGCTGATATTAGAACTACTCATTCAACAGACTTAAATTCTCGTTCACTCGTTGAAAAACAGGGAGATCAAAACAAAGGAAATTTGACCACCCAATCACACGACAAACGTTCATCAGGTACTTTTGGCATGGACCAATCGGTTGAAGGACCTTCATCCGGGACATTAGGCGTTGACCAATCAATTGACGAACCCTTGGAATCAAATGAAAGACCTGCCTCAGGCATGTTGGATCTTGATTGGTCCATTTGCTTTGAGCAGTTTTTGGCTTCTATGTTGACTGAGCCGTACCTTGTTCACTATTTTGAAGAAACTGTCGACGTCGTTCAGCGACTTAAGAAAATGAAAACAGAAGGGATGGGAAGCTTTCGAAATGCGTCCAAGACAAGTTTACATTCAGCGGAGTAGATATACTGTATGAACGGATGGAAAGGATGAAAGGATGGGCGTTGAATCTCGGGGCGTAGTTTTCTCTCTTACGTGTAAAACTTTCTTAAGTACCCCTCATCCCGTGTTGGGCTCAGTAAAAGATACATCAACATTCTTTCGTATAATTGGTATTACCAACAGCACAACCATTACATCAAAAAACGGGAAATACTTTGTATCATTTACAGATATTTATGAGGAATAGGGAAAACAGGGGGAGCCGAAATGTGTCGTGAATGGGGGAAATATCTGCTGTAGTAATTCCTTGTCTAACAATTTACAAGAAACTTATCTTCTTCGTACATGGATAAAACGGACATGCAACTGGTTTGATGTCTGACCCGAAAACCTTAATCGAGGCAAATTAGTCAGTTTTGAGTAAGAATAGGGTAGGATTATCAAGGTTCATTCTTTACCTTTGGAAAAGAATATCTTTAAGTTTGAACTCAAAGAACTCGCTACGAACGATGAATAGCTTTAGTCTGTTCCCCACAATCTCTATTCGGCGAATGCGCGCTTGGCGGTGTCACGTGATCGAATCTTTGCTTGTAACGGGACCTTTGAATTCAGTCTTATTATTTGAAAAAGAATAGAGTAAAATTTATTGTTATATGTGTACACCTAATTGCAATAACATTGTCATAGAAAAATCCTCAAAAAATGTAAAAGGGGAAATAGGAATGTTAATCATGCCTATCAGTAAACCACTGTAGGGTGAATCATACGCGTACAGCCGTTACACTTATAGTTTTGTTTTTGAAAGAAAAAACTGCCCGTGCTGCAAATGAACGCAGCCCGTAGTGGGTTATTGGTAAGCCTTATTATCCCAATTTAGCTTTTTTCTTTATTTTCCATTTCCTTTTAGCATGTTTCTAACACAACGTTATTGCCATTAAGTGTATAAAAATATTTAGAGATCTTTAAATTGATGACCACCCAAATAATGTTGAGGTAAATTGTACAAACTAGTTAGTAATAACCAATTGGGCTTCAACATTTAAAAGTGATAAATCAGACTTAATTATTTTTCCAGAAGGATTGAACTGAGAACTAAATTATTTATCTGTACGTTAATAAAATAAAATTTTGGGGGAGGAAATTCAGTTAGCATTTCTCTCCACAGGAAAACAAAAATAGGACCTGAATGGGTGACAGTGGTTGACATCTGTAAGAAGTCTTCGTAAAAGTTCAAAAAACAAATAATGATGATGATGATGACCACTAAGGCACTGATTTTAGAAACGTCAGTCACTGTCATCAACAGTCTTAGACCGCGTCCACACTAGTGCGTTACCGTTGGAAAACTCATACATTTCGCTGCATCTTCCGTCCACACTAATCCGCTGAGCGTTTTCATCGAAAACGGATCGATTTGAAAACGCTCTTGAGATTGGATCAAAACGAAAACGCATTACATATCGTATTAGAATGGACGATCAAAAAACGCATCAAAATGAAAACTAGGACCGAAAAATCGCAAGCGCGTTCATTTGTAGCGTGTACAAGGTGCAGTTCTATCGTTTTCAAACGTTGTGTGGACAGTCGAAAGTCGAAAGTACGATCTTCTGTAAAAGAAAACAATTAACAGAAAATTTTATGGTGTTCTTTATTATTTTTGTTCTTCTACAATTAATAACTTTTATTACATGAACGTTTGAAGAAAATGAAGAATAAAATTATTCAATAATATGGAAATAATTTAAGCAAATTAAGACCGAACGAGGATTAAACAACTGAGCGATTTCTTAGTAGCGTTTCCTTATACAGTTGCTCAACAGTGAAAACAAAAAAAAACTTCAAATGACGGATTAATAAGCCTGTTTTTAAGGAAACATTTTCCTCAGAAGATTTGTCAATAATAGCTCATGAAACTGTTTTGTTGCAAATGGATATCTTAACGAACCAAGTAAAAGCTCTCTGCATCTTGTGATTAATGCAAGAAAAATATAGCGTCGATCAACGTCTGGAAACAAAAAGAGTTTTAGTTAATACTGGTTCGTACATTGTGTATAATGTTAATTCACCACTTTAGAAACGAGGAGGGAACTGGAGTCGAAACGCGTCCCGAAATTGTTTCTGGGATTGTTGCTGGCGACGCGTCAGTCAGTCAGCTATAGGCCATCTTTTTTTCCCTGTTTAGTAACCGTCTCGGAAGTAAGTCGAAACCAAAGACGACACTGGCTCACTGGCCCAACATTGGCCCATCGGAGAGCCGCTGTACACTATACAATGGTCTAATATAGATATAAAAGAACTCAAGCTATTTAATGTAAAATACTCGATTTAGGATCGTTACAACCCACACGAACTCAAATAAACATGCTAAACGTCCTCCTACCTGAAACACTTGTAAACAGCAAACAAAGTTAACGCTGCTACCCCACATCCAATAGCGATCTTAGAATAGTCCAAGACAAAGCGAGAGGTTGCTTTTCTGTCCATATAAACAGACAGAGTCTCAGCTGGCAGCCGTCCCAGGAAACAACGCGGAATTGGCAACTTCTGAACGTATCTTCGTCCTTGACAAATTCTGTCTAATGTTTGCCATTCCTTTTCTGAGATATCGTATTCCTCCTTCTCAATTTCTTGCCCTTGTGTCAATGACACACTCGATTCATTCGTAAACCCTCCTGCCATACCATAATAAGCTTTGATAGTCTTTTTCGAGCCTTCGTCCACATCACTGGGATAAAGAAATCTTTCTTCTTTAAACTCCTTGTCCATACTGTCTTCTTGAAAATTTAATGACCTCGATGCAGCTGCCTCTATCTTTTGAGCAACTGACCCTTCATTGCCGATAAATTCTTCTCTTACCAAGCAAGACTCAGCTGACATTGATCTCATTACTTCCCTCATGTCCTTGGGACCTTCCTTTGACTCAGAAGCATTCACAACTGAAGAGTTTCTTTCATCCCCTCTCCTATCCTTCAAACAGTCTCCAGTAACCGACACTTTTTCGTCTTTTACATTTTCGCTGTATTCGGGGGTTTTCGAGCCCTCCATCTTTGTCAAACCATCTTTTCCAAGATCTTGGTGATCCTGTGCTGAAGAAGTTTGATCCTTTCCGTTGTTTACCCTTGAAAAAATGACTGTCAAAGCTCTTCTAATAACGTTTGCAGGCTCGTAGTTGCTGTCACTGTCGTCGTCATTTCCGTTCAATTTAGTTTCTTCCCGATATTTCATACCTTCGTCTGCGTTAAACGCGGCACAATTTTCATGAACGTTTTCTTGATATCTCTCTTCCCTTTGGACTTCATCTCCAAAACACGTGGCGGTCACAGTCCTTTCCGTACTCTGCAAACGGTTTCGTGCATCATATGGACCAACAGCTGAAAATAAAGATGTTCATTCACTAGGATCCCAAAAACTACAAGGCAGCGTTCACACTTAGTGCCCGAGCACGGTGCCGAAGTACGGTTCTCACTGAGCATTAATGTGAACACACCCTTTTTTCGATCAAGTACCCACGCTAGAATTTGGGCACGGTGCCGGTGACCGAGTACAAGGTCTTGACTTTAATTCAGTCTGGAAAATTTATTTCGAGAAGGCTATATTAAAGGTGCATGGATTGCGTAAGTTGAAACATATTTACGGTAAGATCATCTTTTTTCCCTCTCGCGCAAGGAGTGGACATCCCAATTTCCATGACCTTCTGTTTTAACTTTACTTACTTAATAAACTAGTTATAATGTAAATTCAGTATAAAATGATTGCTAACATCTGCGGAGCTGCGCCAAAGTTAAGTCTTGTATAATTCCCGAATTTCGCGCTGAGACCGGAAAAACTACATTATTTAATAAATGAGCTCGAGCAAGCACAGAAAAATCGTTGTCTTCATTGCCTACCTTGGCCTCTCAAGATGAACTGTTGTAGGGCTTGCAATTCTTCTGTTCCTCCTTCCAGAATCTGTTCAACTGTGTAAACAGTTGCGCGGCGGTTAATCGGAAACAATCTTAGCATCCGTAAATCAACACGCACTGAAACAGAATTAGAGACGTTAATATATAACAACAGTTTAATGTAACGATACTGTGCTATAAGTCTGTGGCTCATTGTCCTATGTGGTTTCGAGGGTGCCGGTTAGCCTGGTAGCAAGTGAAAAGTTGTTGTTTTTATTTTGTATTAAACCTAATTTTTTTTTACGTTCTCGTTGCCGTCGCCGTCTTCGGATCTTAAGGTCCCTAATTTACTCAGCAGCAACTCTTTCCTTCTAAAGCTTATAGGTCTTGAGTCCGGTAGCAATTTGCAACTTTACGTTCAAATGAACCGTACTTGAAAATTGAAAACAACTTACATTGGTCATGGAGAATGAACCAAATCAGCATTTCAAGCGTGCCAGTATTCACAGTATTCGATCGAACAAACGTTGATTCAGCCTTTATGGTGGGGGTGGCAGAATATCCATCTCTAACTTTCAATTCTATAAGAAATTAAAAAGTACAAGAAACCACTTATGGAACGAAAACGTGAAGACCGAAGACAAAAAATTACACCCAAATATGTCTACAGTAGTTTTGTAAGGACTTCAATTATACTATTGAAATTAAAAAGTGATAACATACAGCGTCAGAAAGTTATTCATTTCATTGCTACTTACCATGAAAATTCCTGCCAGTATAGATGTGGGCTCCATATCTCCCACTACTTATGTAAATAAGTTTTCTTCTCCAATTCAGAAAAGCAATCATCGTGTACAACAGGCACAACGTAACACACACGAGGGTTGCTGCAACGTAATAAACTTGGACATCTCCACTTAAATGGAAAAATCCTGAAAAATGAAGCAAAATCTTTTCTTAGAAGAAAGTGTTAAGGAAAAAATAATGCGAGAATACAGACTGATTCTTGGATGGTGCGTGCGCAAGGTAACATATGAGCGCATCCATCCAGCAGCTGGATGTGCGCATATAAGCTTTTTTGCTGCTTGTGCTACTTTTGCGCGCGCATATAAGCGTTTTGCTATTTTGTCCTACTTTTGCGCGGATATAAGCGTTTTTGCTCTTTTGTTACTTCTGCGCGCACACAGGCTTTTTTTTACTATTTGTGCTACTTTTGCGTACATAAAACCGTTTTTGCTCTTTGTTCTACTTTTGCGCGCATACAAGCATTTTTGCTATTTGTGCTACATTTGCGCGCACATAAGCGTTTTTACTGTTGAACTGCTTTTGCGCGCAAATAAGTGTTTTTGCTATTGTGCTACTCCTGCGCGCATCTAAACGTTTTTGATATTTTGTGTCTAATTAATATTTCTTTCTGCTCAACGAAGTCATGTGGCTGCATAAAGCAAAATGTATGAAAGTTCAACTTCCTTGATTTTGATAGTGAGGTAAGAGGTCTGCAACCTCTTTCCCGGAAAAAGGTATCTAAGTGAATGCACCGCGCAGTCTTTACACAGGCAGCATTAAAAAGTAATAATTGAAGCGTACCTTTAGAACAGTTGTAATAAATTCTGATCCCAAGTAAAGAATTTCTCTCGCATAACAGTGGAAAGAGAACCACGAAAACAAAATAAGAAATCGCCGTTTTCATCTTGTCAAGTCATCATTGGAATTGACAAAATTCGCTTTGCTCAAATTCTGATCCTGATTTCTGATCTGATTATCTACATCATAAAGATCACTGTTTGCGCGCGCTTTTCTCTAATTGGATAGTTTGCATCTCTCTGTTGACCAATCAGAGTGCAGTTAGAGAGACTACCGCGCGCGTGCCCAAAGGTTGGTCACTAGAGTAATACTACTGAATGGTATGAGATGAAATACGCGTTTTCTATTGCCCTAATTTGTATTTTTCTCGCACGAAATGTGCGCTTAACATACGGCGACGATGAAGCAAACTTGCCCTCGTTATTACCCACCCGATGGATGGAAAATAAAAAGACGTTATTTGCCCGCATAAGATTACCCCCCTTGTGCCAGTAGAAAAATGAAAATATCCTTTGCAAGGCAGGAGATAGATAAGTGTTAGGATCACATTAACACTTACTTGAGGGGATTTGATTTGACAAGAAAAGATTTCATCTCCTGGAAAATATTGTGAACTAAGAAAATCAAGAAGAAAGCTCAATCAACACCCAGCCATCACGATCCTTACTTTCGATTAGTAAGGTTTACGTATTCCAGAGTTAGCGTCAAAGACTTTCATCAGTGGAAGTGCGCGCATTATCTCGTTTTTGGCTAAATATAATGAACAACCGCTCTTCCACGGGCGCGCAGAGAAAGTGACATGCTCACAATACGCTAGGCTTGGTTTGCGAAAAATCTCTTAGAATGTTAAACAGCTTTCTTTAGAGCCCGCCGATTCAAAACTGAGAATAGCTCTTTCCAAAGCCAAGACACAACTGAGGTTTCGACTTTCCTTGAACAAGGCATTTATGCAAGGTTATTAAAGTTGGTAAAGTGAAATTGTTTTTTTTTGCTGTTTAACGTTTGTTTTGGCAAGTCTGTAAGGTGGATTGGTAAGCGCAATTTTGCTGCTACTCTGCAGACCCCTGTTGCCACTTTAGAGACAAGAAAAAACTGGATGCGTTAAGTTTCGCAGAGACTTCTGGGACTGTTTCTGGAGACGCGGGAAAAAATGGCCAATAGCTGATCGGCGCTTCCCCAGCAACGATCCCGGAAACAACTGCATGAGGCATTTCGGCTCCAGTTCTCTTCTCGCTTCTAAAGTGGTGAAAGGGCATACCATGTTCCACCGAGGTATGACTGCAGCTATGCGAAACATTCATATGTCACTTTCTGAATCAGAAGAATTTTCTTTGTTGAATGCTCTATCAGGCTTTTTTTAACTTAAAATATTTCCTTTAGCAAAACTATAAGAAGAAAAAAAAACACGACATCACTCACTACAAATATCTTTTATTTTAACCTTTTGATTTACTTTTTTAAAGAAGATTCTTTTTACCCTTGCACTACGAGGTATCTACCTCTGTCATTGACTATGTTAATGACATGCAAAAACCAAAACAAAATTTTTCCATTGTATCTTTTGGTTTTTAATTCTTCTGTTCTTTGTCTCTCTCTTTTAATTTCAGTCTCAAATCTGACACAGTTTTCTTTTTAAATTCTGTCATCCGTTGCTGTTCTTCTTTCGCTTTCTTTTTACTGATTTCGTTTTCAATGGCAAAAATCCACTTGCTCTGTTCTTTGGTGACATATCTGTGCTTTAGCAAAGACAAAAACACTCCACCACTTGTGCGCCTGTAAAGTGAAAATGAAAAACACTTTATACATTTACAGTAACTACCACTATATGCTTGTATGAATGACTTTGAACTCAAACTGGTGGGTATATGGAGTAGACTTCTTTTATTATTATTTTGCTTGTAAACGGTCTTAATAAGCTTATGATTATGCAGCTCATTTTAACTTTTCCTTAGTGGCCTGTGCCATGTAAACCTCCACCATTGGCATCTCATTATGTAAATCTTTTCTACCAATGTGACAATTTAAAGTGTGACTTAGAACTTACTTTAACCCTATGAAAGATAATCTGTCAGTTTTCTGTTAATGATTTGTAGTTTGTCACATCTGGTTATCAATGAATATGTTTGGTCATGTTAATAAATAAATAAAATAAAAGGTCTTTATTGTTTTTTAAGCAAAAATACCTGCTAAAAACCAATAACACTTACATGTACGTTAAAAACAGCAGAAAGAATTACAAGGCTTAAAAAATTCCATGTACAGAAGTATTGAATTTAACATTCAAGATCCACATTAAATTAAATAGCTACTCTACATTTGAAAAATAGCCTATTAAAAAAACTATTTTTAAAATGCTGGGTATTAACCCTAGGGAGTTGACTGCTAGGAACTCAGAGGCGCACTGAACTTTCTTTCGTTTTAGGGACGGAAGGGTACAGAGGGTGGCAAGGCATACTGGAGATCTTCTTGAACAGTGAGCGATCTACCTCTTCTAATATGTTGTATATGTCAATTTGGTACAAAATATATTTGCGTTTAAAGCAGCGCTGTAGAAATATTAGCAGAATTTAAGCTAGGCCTGCCTTCAGCTCACATAACATATTCAGTTTACTGCATTGTAAAACATTTGTCATATTAACCTTACCAGAGTACACTTAATGTAAAAAGGAAAAACAAACAAACAAACAAATAAAACAAAATAGTTTTTTGTTTTGTATGTTTGTATATTTGTATGTTTGTTTTTCCTTTTTTACATTAAGTGTGCTCTGTAAAATGAAAATAAAAATTAATAAATTACAAAAAAAAACCCTTACCTCCTATCTCCATCCTTTGTCCATATACCTCCATGTCTCTCCACCTCCTGTGTGTCCCTGAAGAGCTTTATTGCTTTTTCACAGCCAATACATGTCACAACTCGTTGGATAAGCATCACCTTACTCTAAATGGTAAAAATAATGTTATTCAGCGATTGCCTTGGATCAGTTTACCATGGTGATAAAGTATTCTTATTTTTTTAAGGATTTTTCTATGACAATGTTATTACAATTAGGTGTAAATAAATAAAATAGCAGCACCATCAACAAATGGAGGAGAGATGACATAAACTGACAGCACACTAAATGTAGACAAGGTCAGTAATAGTTACAACATCATAAATTATATTATTATTGTATCATTACGAGTTGAAGTACTGGCCACTTGGCCACACTGACGCCCTAAAATGATAAAATATTTTAATAAATTATTTGAGAATTCTTACTTCATTTAACTTGTAAGCTATTTCCCTGGCAACAACTTCTTCAGCATCATCTGATGTGACCCTCAGAGTCTGGAGCACCTTTTGATTTCCTGATTCAACATTCTGATGGTTGGATCTGCTATTTTTTGGCTGCTGTCCATCTTTATGGTGTCTCCGTATTTCCCTTTTACGTTTTCTCCTCCCAGCCCTAGTTTTCTTGACTACCTCTTTATCTGCAAGAAAACGTAATAAAAGACACACAGATACTTGCACCCTCCACAAGGAAACAAAAAATAGAAAGAAAAATATTATGAAGACTATTGAAGAAAATTATGGAAACAATAAATTATCGATTTTTGCCACAGTTTCCAAATAATCTCTTGCAATATTTTTTAACTGCTACTAACAAAATGATCAAGATAATAATGATAATAGTACTTGAAATGATGCATGTTCTAATAATCAGAAAACAAAATACATGTATAATATTTTTATTGCAATATACATGTAATACATAAATTTAGCCAAAGCTAAAAGCGAAGCTCACATTTATGCATTTTAAATTTCCTGTAGACAATGGACTTTAAACTAATGACAAAACCACAAATCCATACTTAACTTTATGGGAAAACCATATGACTGAAAAACATAAAAAGGGGAAAAAAGCGGCAAGCGTAAACTGTTTTCAACAAATGTGGTCTTTAATCAGACTCAAACTTCTACCAGGTTACGAGGTCTGTGTTTTTGAGGTCTGCGATTTTGAGCTCTACTGTCTGCAGTCTGCGTTTTCAAGGTCTGTGTTTTCTAGACACCCTTGATCTGAAGGCAATTCTGCTACTCTCTTAAAGATATGTGCAGAGGAGACAAAAAGGTACTAGACTGCGAGCAGTCTCTTATTTTTCTTTGCAAAGTTACTGCACGTGAAACCTAAGCATGTGAGTGGCAAAGCCGCGAGCCACAAGAAACAAGGGCATAAGCCCGAGAAGAAAAAATAAGAGACTGTTGACTCTTCTGTTTTGTCCGGGGACAACCAAGCTGTCAAGGTAATTTAATAAATTAATCAATTAAATCCAAGTAACTTGAAACGATTTATAAATAGAACATAAACTGAAAAAATTACACTTTCTTTAAATCCGGTCAGATTGCCTTGAATTCATTCCCTTGAGGAAACTTTCAGCAGTTTCCTTCCCTAAGATATCCTTAAAAATTTTATTACTGAGATTACCGCTTGGTTCGCTATTGTTTGTACTTGGATGTGATGCATGACTATTTTTACTGCTTACAATCTCACCACAGACCAGTCAATTATCTGTCAACAGCTGTGCAATTGACCAATCGGTTACTCTGTTTCTGGGCTGACGTAGGGTTTGTTTACTACATAAGAGTCAGCAGTCCGTCTTTTCTCGTCTCGTCTCAATCCCTTATTGTAATAATAACGTCGTGGTTTTCAATCGCGCTGGATCAAATAAGAACTAGACGGATTTTAAGAGAAAAGGCAGATTGCAAGCAGTCTAAAAAGGTACCAGTCCTCTTCGCAACACAGGTTGTAAAGAAGCTCATGTATTTAGCACACACATTTCTTTTGCCATTTTAAAAATTTACCTGACGTCTTGATATTATCTCCCTCACCAGTTCCCGGATGACTTTGTTCTTCCAACCTTGCTCGCTTTTTTCTTTTCCATGACTGGTCATCCATAGAGCTATCAGACTCCATAGAAAGAACTGCACTGTCTGCTTCATAATCCCGCTTAAGTGTTTCATCCACACTATCCTTCACTAAATTTTCCTTTTTGTCAAAATTTCTGAAAACAGAATTTGGTGACAGAAAAGTGCAATCATCTGTTTTTGCTAAGCCTTTATGTTCAGATAAAGTTGTCGTCATCTCGGACCCTGTTAAAGAATTTTGGTCTTCGTCAGCTTTCTCATCCAGGTCCATTTTCTCTTCGCCTTCACCATCGCTTGAGCTTAATACTTCGCCTTCTTCGTTATCGACTAAAGTCCTTGCACTGTCGATTATTTCGTTGTCAAAACTCTGGCTTGGCCCGTTCTCATCTCCAAGAGTGCATGAATTTTGCTTGACATTTTCTTCTCTTTTTTCAACTACAATTACTTTTTCTGTGTTCTGTTCACAACCGTTCTCTTTTACCTCACTTAATTCTTCATCAAACTCGTTGAAAGTAACATCCAAGTCCAATTCGGCCTCAAAACGTTCCAGGCTGTCAGCCATGATCTTGACATCTACCACCATTACTTCATGTATCGCGAAATATAATGTATCCACAAATAACCAAACACCGCGGGCTCATTAAAATTCTAACTCGTCATTACTCCATGTAGTTCACACAAGAATAAATTTCGCTTCTTTATAGGCGTGAAAACGTTAACCTTTTTTTTTTATCATTATTATAAATGTCATCTTTTATATTGTGAAGCAAGAAGGAATTTGGATTAACTACGCCTTTATATTATTTTCTACCAAAAAGAACAAGAAAAATTGAGAGACAGCAATTCGTTTCATCTTATATGACAAGGTGGCTGGAACTCCGCGCCTTTCACTTTTTCGCTTCGTTCTGTATTACATTTTCTTTGTTGTGCCAGTCGTTTCCGTCTTGGGATTATTTGACTTGAAGATTGTACTTCCGTTCCTTTTTAAAGGTAAATTAACACGAGGTGTTTTATTAAATAAAAGTTTATTGTTTTTTTCATATAGAAAAATAGCAGAATGATTTTTTTGTATGAATGCCGGAAGTAGCTTGCATGGGCATGTGGGTTCTCTCTTTTATACTCTTACATAATTTCAACTTTAATTTTCGGCAGGTTGATCTTAGTTATGAGCAGTGATGAAGACTTTGACGATGCAGCGTACAGGGAATACGAAGATCAACTTTATCATGATGAATCTTCATCTGTGTAAGTGTTAAATAAATCCTTTACTTTAAGGGTGTATGCTCTACATAAAGCCTGTATATATGTACCTGTACCAATGCTGCTTTTGTTTAACCTATATAGAACTGATGATGATGTAGACAGCGAAGTAGAAGAAGCCCTTTACAGCCAAGTGCACTATGCCTCGTCTTTATTAGTATCAGAAAATTCAACACCAGGTATCAATGCCTTGCATTAAATGTCAAGAATGACATCATCTTATAATTATAATAATAATAGTAATAACCAAAGGTTAGGGAGTGTGGGCGAGGTCAATTAAAGGTCAAAACACTCTGGTTTGTGTAAGTTTCAAGTGAAAGAAGTTAGAAAATGCATTCTGTGCATTCCATATTCTTTGTTAGCTCCTCTGGTTTCCCACAATTATCTTCCCAGACTTTGCCGATGTTGCTAGAAGTATGAACTATTCTTTTGATTAAAATAGCAGTGGTACAAGGTCTAGAGGCTAATGCGTAGTCATGACCACAACCAGATAAATTCCTGCCAATGTATACCCACCAATAGTTGGTGAAATATGGTCATCTTGACAGTGACTGATGAGTCAAAAATTTGTATAGGTAATAGCATGATCTGTAGGGATATTTAGCATAAGTACCACGAGTGATCTTTCGAAATTGTTGTACGTAATTTCATGAGCTGTTAGGTGAGTGAAATTTGAGACAATTTTGAAATATCGCGAGTGGTATTTACGCCAAAAACCATGCTATTATTTGTTTATACTACTACCCCGCGTGGGTAAGGACTTTTTTCCTCAAATCTCCAGAGATGGAATTTTTTTCCCCAACATATAACGTTGTAAGATTATCGGCCTTGAGAGATATACTTTTTTCAGTGCAGGATATTTTTTCCCCAGGTATTTCCTTGCAAGAATGTTTTTTCTCTCAAATCAGTGTGCAGGATATTTTTTTCTGAAATCACCCATACACACCCCCCAACCTCCCCCACAAAAGTCAAATGTTTGGCCCCTTGGGAAATCATCATTGTTGGGAACATCGTGAATGACTTGCTGTAAACATAACTTGACAGCTTATTGACAGCTTGCATCCAAATTTAGCCAATGGGAATTGCCCGTGGCTGGATTGAAGGGAGTAATTCAATTATAATTTATGCCGAACCGACTGTCCGTATTTTTAGTGTCTCTCCCTAGTCTCACTCTCCGTTTTCAGCCTCGCTCCAGTCCTTTTGTCTGACTGCTCTTGCGTACTTGAATATGCAAAAATACAGACTGTTTTGCAGTCTCATCCACCAGACTGAAGCTAAATTAAAGTTATTTAGTAAAATTCTCTTAATATTATGTTGCAAAACCCACCTTCTTATTTGGTTTACTGTGTTTTAGTTAGAAAAGTTAGAAAATTTGCCTAAATGTGCTCGTGGAATTTTATAAAACTAGGATCCTTTCAATTCTGTAAGCCTTGATAGTCAATGGGGAATTTAAAGAGAGCTGTCTTATAATCATTGTAAAAAAACTGGATCTTTATACGTTTTGATCATTATATGTTTCTTGGAAACTGCCCACCTACCCCTCCCCTAAGCCAACATTAACACTTACTTATCACATAGGGCAAAATGTTGACTTAGGGAAGGGGTAGGTGGGCAGTTTCCCAGAAACCTGTAATGATAAAAAAATTAATAATACCAATGCATTGTCGACTGAATACTCACTAATTAATATTCTGGAGAATGAGAAATATGTAAATGCAGCAAATTGCACTTAATTCTTGTTCAACATTTTAGGTGATGAAAGAAAAGCTCAGAAAGAAAACATTGATGGTTTGCGTACGACAAGGCAGCAGAGATTTCACATGAACTCCTCTGTTATTGTAATTTCCAGCGATGACAATGAAAATGATAAGGTCAAAGGCCACGACAGTGATGGCGATTCTGTGGAAGAACTTTGTTCTACATCCATCAAATATCCAGGTATTTGATTTAAGATTATGCTATTTTATTTGTATGAAATCTAAAGAAATGATGTACTAGACTGTTTTTAAAATACGCTAATATGAAATTCTTTGCCTGCGGAAATTCCCTGATCAAATTAATGTCATTAAGGAAACATCTCTTAAAAATGGCCCTGATAGTTATTTTTCTTGAATGTAATATAGTAAAATATTATATAATATGTATGTAATTTTTTAAAAAATTATTATATATAATTATATATAATTATTATAGTCATCTTGACACACTTATATAATGACACACTTGACACACTTATATAATTATATATAATTATTATATAATTATTATATAATATGTATGTAATTTTTTAAAAAACAAAAGATTAAAATCTTTTGTTTTCTGTCTATTCAGAGGTGATTGAAATTTTTTCGGATGAAAGCACGTCAACTCCAGTTGGGAAAAACCGTGAGGTACATGTTCATGTAATTTAATAAATTAAAATGGTTGGCAGTCTCTGTAGAAATATCAGTATTTAAATTACTGGGTCTGTGAGCCTATTAATAATCATTAGTAATATTATTGGAGAAATAATAATATTAAAATGTTATTATTTCTGAACTGTCTTATTTACATGTTTACCCACATAGCATACTGTACACTAATAGTGACTTGTTTTTTTAGATGCAACTAAAGGAAAATGGGGAGGAGCCAGGGAAATTAATGATTGGTAATATTATCCTTCCATTTGAGTTTTTTGTTCAGCATCACAACCCATGGTGCGCTACATTTTACTTGTATTTCCTCCAAATGTGCCGGAACGAGGTTTAACTAGTAGCATCCTAAGTAGCCTGAGTATCAGGCGTTTCTGGGGGAAATGGGGAAAGATGGAAGTGAAAAGGGGAGAGAGCTGAAGGAGAGAAACGCCTGACACAGATGCTTTTACTGGAGCCTTCCACCCCAACACAGCATGATTTGATACCATCCAATCAAAATCACTTCCGGTCATTGGGTTGTCAGCTTCACGTGTCAAAAAGCTCGCCTAAAATAAATCTCGCCTTACGGTCTGGCCGAGCTCTGGTGTTTTGTGGTGCTTTGTGTTGCTACGATTTCGCTTTTTTCTGAAACCTACATAAAAAGTAAAATGAGGAGTTTTCGAATACTTGTGATGGAAAACCTACCGTTTTTGAGGAACTGTAACATGTTTTAGGAATTGTGCTAGTGTAAGATCGTCAACGCTCTGCTTCTAAATAAATGCGTCTCCGGAAAATTGTAAATTGCTTTTGTTTACAGTGTTACAACATGCGCTCATTAATAAGCAGGTTCCTGAGAGTCTAGCAGCTAAAAAGCTGATGTAGATCAGGAAGAGAATCGTCCGAGGTTTTGTTAGTTATCCCTCGTATTCTCGGGTGGTTGAAAGGAGCTGCAAGAATAAATAGGAAGGTGCGATGGTGATTAGGAACACATATGCCTAGAAAATTATCAAGAGGCAGCAAATTACACCAATTCTGACAGAGAGCTCGTGAAAGCTGTTTCAAGTTCAGTTAAGAAAGAAGTGATAGCCAAAAGCAAAGGTCAATCCCATTGGCAAAATATGATGGTGCCCGCTTGAGCTTAAGACATTTCAAAAGTAAAAAAAAATTTGGAGGAGGAAGCGAACGAATTCCAGTCAAGTACGCTATCGTAACCGCCACAGTCAAGCTAGAGCCTCGGTGCTGTCGGCTATTCTCAATAGATGGCTACCTCGCTCCAATTTTATTTTAATACAGTAACAATACCCTTTCAACGGTAGGATGTTGTAAATCATTCAGAACTTAGATATCTGAAGCACTTATATCATCTTCTTTGTCTCGGACTTGTGAAACCAATGCTTGGACATAGTTTCAGCAGAGGCTGGTATATGAGGCTTTTCCATACTCCGAGAACATCTTTTCTTTTAACTACTAGGCTTTGAAAATACAATTCTTGCTCGGTTTTATTTTTATTCCAGGAAAGAACTTGAGAGCGCCCTCTAGGGCCGTTTTGAATTCCTCTCTGCGTCTCTGTCCATAAAAGTACCACATGAAATCAAAAGATCGATGAAAAATTTCAATGGCTTCTCCTTGCCGATTGCTCTGCTCGTATTTTGTTGTTGTTGTTGTTGTATTTACTTGCGGTCGGTGACATCAGGGAGTATTGTGTGTTATCCAATCACTGCCACATCCAGATTTTGGATGTGTCACACGATTTGCTGAATGGTTTTGTGTCAGGCCTTCCTTTCTCTTCTCCCCCTCCCCCCTCCCCCATCTAAAATCTCCTCTCCCCTGGCCCCTTAGGAAGGCCTGATACTCAGGCTACATTCTAAGCACTTAAAACACCCTAACCTGCTGGAGGGACCATATTGACTTAGTGGAAGGGTTACAGTCA